ATTCCCTTTTGAGCGCTGCCTTTTGTGTCCTGGTCTGGGCGGCTGCTGGCCAATGTCGCTCGATGGCGCGAGCCATGAGACTGACGGGAAAAGTCCCGGGCCTTTCCTGGCCTTCAGCCCAATGTCGCCTTGGGGGTGCATATGACATCGTGGCATCTGGAAACCAAGTTGAACTACTTTCTGCGCATTTGGTGTCTGGCTCCAATAATATTATTGAATAATAATAATGGATTACTGGACCTCATTATTATTCGAATGATTTTGTATGGAAGGGACCACCCGAATTGGCTGCGCGAACGTGGCCTTGCGAACTGAAACGTTGCAGCAACATGATTCGTTCAATGAGCTTCATTGATTTCACGCATACTCCATCACCTAGGCGTTGTGTGTTTGCGTTTCTTTGAAAGGCGCACCACGTCACTTGGGACACTGTGTGACACTTGTGATTGCGCGTTATGGCCTTTGAGCGCATTAGTGCACATTTTCATCATAGGGAGTAGCTGTTTGGGGCTCACGGGGTGGCGCCCCCCTGTAGGCGCTCTATCCCATAAATGCACTGCACGGAAGTTCATTCCATTATGGTGTCTTGCTTATTACATTTATATGATTAATCTGAACGACACTGTGCCAGCTCGAATCAATTGTACGATTTAGGCTCGGTCGATGCGATTCGCCTCGTGAGTCAAAACTTGCAGGTGCACAAAGCGGCAGGGCTTCTGGCTGGGATCGAAAATATTTTTAAATTCAACCTGCCAACAGCTGCCAAAAATTTTCCATTTTTTCCTCATTCAAAGCGGCGGAAATATGTGAGATTCAGATTACGGTTTTATGCCTTATTGTTTGCAGCAGATAGCCTCGGCATTCGACACCCCTCGTGAACAGTAATCTAACCTAATTTCTTGTCAATACAAGTGCGTCGTGCTCTCGGCTCAAGCTTTCTCGTCGCAAGGCCTCAGGTGGCTTGGCAGCCAGCCCAAACAACAATGTGTGCTGCTGTAGAGGTGAGTTTCCTCTGTTTCGGTGTGCACCTCAAGCATCGAGTGGAAAGGGACAGCCGCCTGCATGGACAGTGCACAGCGCTGACATAAATTCCCCCGTTTTTGAAAATTTAGAATACTTTCATACCCACACTGCTATAATCTACCGCGTTATCAAGTTCCGATTTTGATTGCTGCGATTTCGGTGGGTTACATTGACAGGAATAGTTGGGAAGGCGTGCACACTGCAAAAGGCAGAATGCGCTAACGCGCGCACCGATTGCAACCGAGTATTCGCCGGATTTATCAATACAAATACTGCAACTGAAATACAACAGCACTTAATATTAACAATCACAAATTGCGCCTTGATGCCAGAAGAATATTCATTTGCAGATACGTGTTGCCCAAAGGGCTCTGACATCCTAAAATGGGTGATTCATTTCACAAAGTCGCACAAGCACACCTTGCACCTCCTGCTCCGTGACACCGAACTTGATTTTCGGGTGTGCAGTGGCCTAGCCATGGCTCCTTCCTCGCAGGGCATGCGCCTCCATTTTCTCGGGGCATCCACACTTGCTGCAGCCCGAGAATCTGGTGTTGTCCCTCAAAGTTCACATTGGGACTCGCGCCCTCCGTTACATGCCATGGCCGCAAAGGCAGCTCCGCTGGTCATCAGCACCATACCCGCTCCAGCTGTCCCGCCCTCCATACTTACCTGCCCACCCGTCGTACTCCCAAAAACATCCGGGCCCACATGCTGTGAAGTGCCCTGTGTCTGCGGCATTCAATGGGCTGACGACCTTTCTAGGCGGCATGCATGTATGCTGTACTTGTCGCGGTCGCTGCGCTGCCCGCCGCTGCTTGTGGGTGTGATGGTCCCCGCGATGGTCGCCGTCGCCGTGCCTATCATTATGGCCGTAACTGAATCTGACGACAGGAAGCGAAAACACAGCAGCCAGCTAAGCTACTATGTGGTAGATGGCGAAAAAAATAGCTGATTTTTGCCCAAGTTATGTAGGTAGCCATAGAAATGAGTGATGTGCTATCACCGTTGCTTAAATGAATTACACAATTTAAGTGGGCGATTACATAGTTTAAGGGGCGATTTGGTTGCCATCTCAAGGTAGCGGCTCATCAACACGGCACAAGCGGCTGACGCGACCGACTTGGTCTTGGAGACGACAGAGACCGGCGTTTCTCAGTATTAATTATAACCCGGCGGTTGTGCAAAGACACCGAATTTCGCCCCCCCCAAACTTCGCGCGAAGCAGCGTGACGCAGCTGGGATAGCAGCTCCAAGCAGCTTGAGAACTGGTGCGGTCGTCATTTGAAATCCAGCGTGGACGGCTATGCAGTCAGCGAGACTGCGGAAGTGCGTCGCGGTTCTGGCCAGTCAAAATGGAACTCAGCGACCGCTGCACCGGGAAAACAGCGCTTCTGGACTGCGTTCAGCCCACATTCAGTCACCGCGAAAGGAAGCAGATATTCTCAGCTCACCCCTTGGCCACAGTGGGTCCTCCTTCACAGGGATAAGCAGGTTTTCAGCTCGCCGGGGCTCTAAGCCGTTCTCGGTTCCGACTTTTCAAAGTCAATGTCGTCGGGACAGGAGCCTGGCGAAGTGGGCAAAGGGAAGGCGGGGTGGCGCTTTATACCCCGAAACGCCGGTCCATTCGATGACCAATTATCCGAATCGGCCATACGTGGCAGCCCGGGTCAACTGTGTGAACGACTGCACGCCCCTGCAACTACGCGCCTGTGTTCAGAAGGACGCGCTGGTCACGTGCCCGGGTGTGTGCCTGACACGCGCCCTTGTTGCGGTCAAGGCAGCCCCACGCGTCGCTTGGCAGAGACGACTAATGCAACAGCTTCAGCCCGTGATGCACCGTCATCACGTCCCCATTCCAGCTGACACAATTGTCCTAGCTGGACAATTTGCATCTCAAAGCATTGCAATAGTTTGAGATGCAAATTGTTCCACACTTGTTTTCCTGTCCAGTTCACTAGGGAAAAAAGGGCCAAATAACACGTGTTCAAACGTGTACAAAGTTTACGGGTTTATGTTATTTTTGTGTCATTAGCGTGCAGAACTTTGATGAAACGTGTTTTATGTGTGTTCGCAAAAGTGCTATTTGGTCCTTTTTCTGCTAGTGGTTGGCACTATACTTTGAGGTCCAGATTGCTCCACACGTGTTTCTCCCATTCTCTTTCCTGCAGTGCTGCACTTTGAGCAGTGCTCATCTTTGCCAAGCCCGTTTTGAATGTTGAAACCAATAACTTCACACACTTGAAACAACATGGCAACTGTGGTTTGAGGGCAGTAAGCGCTTGCTCGCACAGTAAGACAATCGTGCCCGACGTCTGTTGATCCAAGGATGTCATTTTCACTCAGCAGCGACAAAATTAATCAAGCGGAATCGTGCGCCACACTACACAAGTGGATTCAGCTTAGTCTCTGAGGTCATACATTCAGGCTCGAAGTCAATCTGATTTCTACCAGCCTACCATTCAGTCAAACAAAGGCAATTAAGGGAAAATTCTGGTTGCTTTGGGCACCCCAAAGAGCAAGCTGACATGCATAGGGGCCTGGCCTCTGTATGAGGCCAGCTGTCGTAATTAGGACATCACAGTGTCGTTCGTTATCAATCTCTGGGGGCAAAGGAGCCACGCAAGGATGCCCAGCCAGATCCCTTGAGGAGCAAAGGTGCAGACACCTCGATTAAGGAGCATTTTCAACAATTTTTCATGCAACATGAAATTCCTATCCTACCTCAAATTTCGATCGCTGCACCGATGTTTTGACGATGTCGCTTGTTTACACTTTCCATTTTGGGGTCATACTTGACTTGCTCTTCGGATTTTGCAGATGTGGAATTACATTCTGGGTTCGGACATGAGTTATCATAGACTCGCGTCATAGCTTTGTCCACAAGGACTCTGGAGCCCTTACTACTCCCTTCTTGGGGCATTTCCTGCCTGGGAAACACCCCTGTTAGGCATTGGGAATCTTCCAGAAGTCACATATACGTCATTTATATAGCTATATTTATGTCATTGATATACGTCAACTATATAATTCCAGGTAATTTCCAGCAACAACTTGACTGCGCCACACATGAGTTATTTTAACGCCGTTTTTTCTTTTTCTAATTTATATTTCATGGCCATTTTAGTGGGAATCCTGCACGCCGCTTGCCACTTCTGAGAATCCGCATCATTGTGTAGCATCTCAGCAGCCACAATACACGAAGGGTTACACTTGGGCGCGAATTGGCAATGTCCATTCGGAATACTCATCTGTACAGGTCGGTTTGTCCATCTTCGGGCCAGTGATTTGTTTCTTCTGCTCAGCGAATGGCGCTACAGCAGGGTTGGGCTGTGCGCAGGAAGAAATAAAAGCAGGGGCACATCCTGCATCAATATTGAATCTGAAGGCCGACTCGTGGCTGCAAATTTCTGGGCGAGCATAATGCATTTCCTGCTGCTGCCTTGTGGTTCCTTATCCCATGCGCTAGCCAACCTGTGGTCCACTGCAGAGAGGAGCTGCCCCCAGCATTTATATAGATTCATTCAATGCATGCAGTTATGCATGCATAAGTTGTGAGCATGTATCAACACGCACATGATTCCATTTGTGGTTTGGCATAGCGCGTGATTGCGGCCGCCGTCGTCCTCAGAAGCCCTCAGAAGTCGATTGAATTGCTCCCATTTGGTAATGTGCTGTGCCGCTGCGACGAGCGAAGGATTGCTCTGCCCATCGGGCATTCATGGTGAGGGCAAAACTGGCTGTATCCCTCTCCTGAATCAAACGACCAATCCCGTCGCGACAACCAAGGCAGGCCAAATTTCAACATTAAGTTCGACGTTCGCTGAGGTTTCCAATCACCCCAAAAGCATAAAATCGACAAAATTAAATCGCTACCAGGTCCCTGGCACGGGGATCGCCGCCGGCGGCACAAGCTGTCCTTAATCTGGCCTCGGAGATTCGGCATTCCGTCGCCCCGTGGCGCATGTCCACTGCGATTACTTGGACGCCTCTTGGGTATTCTGCACGACTTTGGCGACCTTGCGGCGCTCACGGACATGCGTCTGTGGGCACTGCATGTCCTGCCAGCTGATGGGAACCATGGGGACACCTGAAGGGCAAATCAGGCCTGAATTTGTCCATGTGCCGAGTTGTCTCATCAGCATGACATGGCTCATTTTGCAAAGCTTCTGTTCAGTTTTAAGCACAACCAAATTACCAAAATCCCTGTGCCAGTGGTGTGACGCGCGCTTTGCCGTGACCCTACCGTGCAGCACTGACATCGCATTCTCAGCTTGGGTGCCATATTTCATCACTGATTGCCACCGTACGGTTGCTGAAACCGCATCCCCCTTCATAACGTTCAAATATGGGTGGATGTCGGTTCGCCACTGAATTAGGTGCTCTACTTGTCGCTGTACAAACCGAATCTCCCAGTTCGACAGGGCAGCCGACAGCTTTCTCCTCAACTATGTGTGCCAATTTCTTGGCGGGCTCATTTGCTGGCTTATGGCATGATTGGTGGGCGCATTGACTGGCGTACTGACTGATTATGAATCACTCGCTCTCAACATGACCAGTGTTAAAACACTGGATGACTGAGACCAACAACCACCTTGCATGTGTCTGATAGAATCAAGACAGGCCGTGTTGTGGGACATTCTGTCTGTCTCAAACGGCATCTGCATCGCGTCCGACAACATGGGGAACACTACAACGTTCACACGGGTTTCCAGATGCAAGAGAGGTTTGACGCAATCAAGAGTGCAAACGCCATCACTTGCGTTCCTTTCAGCAGCGTCTGGGCCGCCCCCCACCTGCAGGGCTCTCGGCGTAGACCACCCCCAGCTCGTTCTTGGCCGTGGACAGATAGTAAAAGTTTGCATCCCCAAAGGACAGGACCTCAGCTCGCACGAGGTCACCTGGCCTGAAACTCGTCGGGATCGTTACCTGGTAACGCAAGTGCGCGAAAACGGGTATTAGCCATGAGCATCGAGCATTCATGTTTAACATGAATCGTGCAAACGTCATACAACACTGCGGGCCGAGGAAGCGGAGCCCTGTTGTTCCGTATGTATTTGCTACACGAATTTCGCATTCTTTGTGCGCGCCTTCACTCAATCTCTGCGCGATTCAATAAAATCCATCCGCCATATGCGCTGCTCTAACAAGGGCCTACTGAGAAGCACATGGTCCTATGGGAAACGTAGCCAAGCATGATAAGAATGGGAATCGAATCGTGACGCGACCGTGCTGACAATCAGTTTCATTACATTGATCGCAAACGCTTTCAAGCTGCTGTATCACGCCGTTGTATGTTCTGTTGCTAAGCTGCACCTAGTAGTTAGGTTGGCGACAGGGTCGCGCCATCCGGCAACGCGTTGCTTACTTGCTGCATGCCCTCATTGCAATCACTGTCAACTTCTGTCAACGCACCTTGTCGATTTCCTTTGCTCTCACATCCTGTGTCCTGGCAGCAAAACGTGAACATAAAACCAGCAACGTGAATTCAAATTGAAAATGCAAACGTCGGATCATGACACGGAAATACCATCGGATCCAAGCGCTGTTGGCAACAGACATTGATTCTGACGAGAAGAGATCATGATCTGGAGCAAAAGAACTGCTTTGGTCCCATTCTTCAGCAAGTCAAAAAATATGACATAGCAAATCAAAAAACGTCAATAGACCTCAAATCACACCTGATCTGCCCCTGAAATTTCGTATGCAGAGCCCGCTCACCAACGCATAGAATATCAACAACCGCGGCTTGCTGTCTCAATCGCGTCACCTGAACACAATGAGCCACATCTGTCAGTGGTTCATCACAAACGCATTCCTAGCACATTTATTGCATTCTCAATGTATGTACATTTAGTACATGCTCAATGTAAGATAATGTTCAAACACACCGCCCCAGCCACGTGTACTGTTCACACCTACTGGAGTCAGAAAGGGTGCGAGGCCATCCTCAAGTGCCTGAATCTCAATCTGTTCCTGTTCACGCATTTCTGTGCAACCGGAAGTGCCACCCCATCTCTAGACGCACACAATGCTGGGCTCATGCTCTTGCAAGCATCGTACAGCGGTCCACAGACAATGCTCATAACAGGGCTGTTGCCCACAAGAGATCGAGCGGACTGAAGCACCTGGCCTACAACAACCTGGGTCCTTCCTGAACGACGAAACTAAAGGCTCCATTCTCGCTTCCATTACGATCTTGAGAAAGTCTCTTCCTTGCACAATGCCGCCAACTGTCAATTCTTTGTGCTGACCGCTTGTGTCAGGATACCACAGAAACTGTTTGAGGAAATTTGCAGATGTTAACAGGGCCCTGCAAGAAGCATAGTCTATTCTTCATGAATTCTCAACAAAGCAATTTAGTGAGTGACACATCCCCAAAGGGATGAACGCATCCATGCAACCATGGTCCACACCCACCCTTCCAGTAACAACGTCTCCAATCTGTGGCACAACTTTTCCCCCTCCCTTCATGGATGTCACCGTGACGATGGGCAGCTGCAGGAACATCGCCAGTCAAGAGTTGGACAACTGCCCCAAAGACACACTGCCAATGCAGCTGCAATTACCTCAGCGTGGGTGCAGACATAAATGTGTGCGAATGTGCTGTGAATCTGACTGCCCAGTGTCAACATGTGGCTGACAACATGTTGATGAGCTGTTGCTTTCCGAATCTAGGAAGGCAGTTTTTTTAGAACAAGAGGTGTATTTCTCACTCCAATTGTACAAGGCTGGCTGCAAGTACCTTGAGGCATGGACCAATCAAGAGTGGGCATTCTGCGCCCATCTTCGCCAGCGAGGTGCAAGATCTGTTTTCTGTCATGTATGGCCACATGCAATGCAAGGATTTCGTTGTAGTACTGTGGAACAGACAGCCTCACATGCAGACTAGAATCGTGCTTGTCACCAGATGTAGCGTAAATTATTTAACCTGGTGCATGTTCTTCAAGCACTACCTTCCTATATTTCCATACCTCCCTTAATTTGGAAGCATCTTCCTTTTTCCTTTGTTTTTCCAGTACCATATTCTACTATTCCTTGATTCTTAATTGGAGGTTTTATCTTTATTTTCAGATGGTGATCCTCAGAAACTTTGATCAGGAGTGAGTCCCAATGGGGAAACCTGTGCTGCTCACTGACAAAACTGAATGAAAGAAAAAGCACAAGCCAGCCTTGCCTTCTTTTCTGCATCCCCCTGTGCGCTTGTCACTTCCTGTCTTCCAACTATGGATGCATAAATGAAGCCTTCACGGCCGTATGTTCCTGCTCCAGCTATGTAGTTGCTCTGGAATGAACAAAGTGATCAATCAGCAAGATTTGAAGAGTAAACTTCAGGTATGGCAACTCAGCATTGGCCACACTATCACTGCTGCTGATATTGGCGTGTATGGGAGGCCTGGCAGCTCAACGATAGTATCCTTGTCTAGAGTTTGACTTTCATACAATTTCGCCACATTGTGCTCTGTCTGTGGCAAGAATTAACTGCTTGTAAAGGGTGAAACGCAATGTTTGACATTGTTTTGTAAGCAACCATTCAACGGGGCATGACACTTGGTCCTTGCCAAACCCAACTCCACTGACAAGACTCAGCCCAGCGAAACTGTTTGGTGCCATCCTCTGTGGGCGGTTCTTCACTTTGGGATGCCAATTCTGGAGACAAACACTGTTGGTAGTTGCATATCTTCTGTTTCACAGTACTGCAGGGTTATAGCTTTGGTTGCTGGTGCTTTAGCCCGACAAGGAAGATTGATTGATGGAATGACTGTTCAAGATGAGACAGAATTTTGAAAAGTGTTGGGAAGCACTGGTGGAGGGGAACAAGGCCTGTCATTGTCTTTGGAAGCAATGATGTTTGCTTTGTTGAGCGAGGGCAACATCAACGAATCAAAATACACAATGAAGCTCACGAACGAAATTCCGCAAGCAGGACCAGATTGTCAAAAGACAACGAATGTCCCCTGATTCAGGAAGCAGAACTGCACCCAGGATGTCGAGCGGCGTGCTGGTTGGCAGCGCAACCAATTACAGTAGTTCATAAAGTGCCAATACACCTGGGAACAAAGGTATTCGAGACTCTGCGCACCAGGGGAAGGTATGCAAAAAGCTTTGAATGCTGCCCGTGAGGTGCGCCATGTTAAATGTAGCCTGCTGCCCAAAAGCCTCTGCTGCGCTTGCTTAACCTGCTGTGTCTGTTTCAACACAGCAGCAATGCCATGGTGCCAGAAAGACAACTGTGGAAACGAAGAAAAGAGGCAAGATCTCCCGATACCAAACAAGAGCAATGCTCCCCGTCAACGGCGTGCCCTAAGTGGCTCTTCTTGTTACTGTGTGCTGATCTGTGCATCAATCATGGACATGGACGCAACAAACAATTCGCTGAGGATTGGATTACCCATTCTTTGAAAACTCGCTTTTGCCCCAAAACACAAAAGCGAATCCTTCCCCTGAAAGGGGACATGTCCACAATTTCATGCATTAAGCACTGCCCTAGGGGACAGGACAGATGTGCAGCCAGCCGTTCCACACAATTGCCTCAGCTTCACTGGGCGTTTTCGTTCGTGGGGGTGGCCCCTCACCTCCTGCCCGAGCCTGTCTCCAGGGCACACCACCGGCCCTCGCTCAGACATGGCGCAGCCTCCTCAAACCGGCAGTCCAGAGCACCGTACTTAAAGAAGAAGCGACGTAACGCTACGCGTAACATTTCCTTTTCTAACACCCCCAATGTACTTACAGCTCTTCCTTGTGTAGCGAGTGCGTTGCGAGCAGCCAGACTCGCACACCCCCGAGCGCAGAGGGCCCGAGCCCGGTCGTTCACCATGGGCGGCGGTGGCCCGCTTGCGTTCCTGAACAAGAAGACATGGCACACTGGCAGCCTGCGCGTGATCGAGGAGGTCTGGAAGCGCGAGCAGGAGAACCAGAAAGAGCAGCAGAGGCTCGAGGAGCTCCGGAAGCAGGTCAATGAGGAGCGGCAGCTGCAGGAGCTGGAGCGAGCGGCCGAGGCCGCGGGCCACGGAAGGTGGGACTCGGGCTGGCGGGGATGGACGAGGGGAAAGAGGGCAGCGGGGTGCAGTGCGATGCGGCTTGGCGACGCTTGCCCCAAAGAGGGATGTCTTGCCTTTGGGAGTCTCGCGAGGGGGAGCGCTGAGTGCGCTGAATTTAACTCACGTTCCTTTCGTCAGTGTGCAGCAGCGCAGAGTCAAGCCATGGGTCGCATCATTGGCTCACGAACATATCACACCCAAGATTGTGTGCGGATGCGTGAGGGCGTTCGCTGTGGATGGTTGCCGAACCGATGTGCTCAGAGCGCCAGGGTTTGTGGGGGATTTCGGCGCCCACGGATGCCCGATGCACCATCTTTGGAGCCATCTTAGTGGGGTGGACGTTGGGGCTCATGCTGTTCCCAATCGGTGACCAGTGTCGCCTGCTTGTTGTGTAACACTTTGAGACTTGTATGTCGTCCGCATTGGGTGAGAAAAAGCCTTGGGAAGACGAGGAAAGACGACTGTGGTCACAGCATAACAAGCTTTCACTCTAGTGAGCCTTTGTAGATTTCAAGCAAAGCACAGCTTAGGTGGTCCTCACAGGCATTCCTTAGGAAACCCACCAACCCTATCGCTGCCGCATTTTTGATGAACAAGCACCTGAATATGAACTGTATGCCTTGATGTGGTTTGCCAAGTATGTTTGAAATTGCCAGGCGTTTGTTGGAATAACAGTTGATATGCTTGTGAATATTAGTCTCTGTGTTACATGACGTTTGTGGAGTGACAACACACTGGCAGCACAGAGTTTCAGGAGCCAGAAGTGCGACCTGACGGAGTCCTGACCAGCTGTCTGTTCCTGTACTCAGAAAATCAGAGCGCCTGGATTGGATGTATGCTGGTGGGATTGCTGCCAAGGAGGATGCAGAACGCAGACAAGAGGAGCATGCACTTGGAAAGCCAGTTGTGCTGGAGGAGGCAAAAGAGGAATCCAAGGTGCTGTAGCCACTGAGTTCAGTGCGACAATGGTCTGCAAAAACATGGCCATGGTCAACGGCTACATTGTGAACAAGCCCGTTATGGCCCCTTATAGGTGGAAGTGCTGTGATTTAACATTGGAGTCGAACGCTAACTGTGCACCTAGAGGGGCAACACCCCATTTGTTGCAGCAGTGCTCAGCCATGTGCTGCCTGGTGTTTTGGCCCGATGTGCCCTCAGAGCACAAGTCCACAGCCCAATACCCTGCATGTTTCCCCAGAGTCTGTCAGTGCAACGGTGTGGCGATTTTGCCAGTGGGAATTCGGTGCACAAGTGCAGAGTTAGAGTGTCAGAGTTTGATTGCAGTGAGGGGCCGTTGGCTGGCTTCTCCTGACGTTGTTGTGGTGTTGAATTCGCAGTGCGAGAAGATCTCTGTTCTTCCTTCCTTCTATACAGAAGATACGCCAAAGTCCGCCAATGAAACTTGGGCAAGGCTGCACAATGATCCCCTGTTCATGGTAGGTTGGGATGACATCGCAGTTGTTGAGCAGGTCATTGATCATTCCTTCCATTCAGCTTGCAGAAACTCAGAAGCCTGCTGGTCTGGCTGATTTTTAGCCAAAAGAGTCCCTGTTTTTGTGAGTTGATGTATCTCCTTGCCGACCATTCGCATAGAATTGGCTTGGTTGCATTGTGCATTGGAGCTCATTGCTTCTTACCAGAATATTAAAGGTTCGCACCAGAAGGGACTCTAGAATCCAGTCAATGAATTGCTTTAACAAGCAGTCGTTGTTGTGACTACTATGGAGTGTATCCATTTCGTTGCAGCCCACCGTGGCCACTGTGTGTATTGTTGCTGGCGTGGCTGGTATTGATGCAGTACAATGTGAAGGAATGGTGCACAAATTGCATCACCTGATCTTTTAGACACATTGTACTCACGATTTTTCGTACAAAAGAACTTCTATTGACATCTTCAGGACGAAGGATCCAAACCAGTCAGTTGCTCTGGTGACAGAGTATGCCCATTTGAGGAATGTTCTGTCACCTGCTTCTGTTGTTTGCAGATCAAAAAACACGAACAGGCTGCTGTGCAGAGGGTAAGAAACAATCCTGCTCGCATGATGGCTATCAAGGACGAGGTGAGCTCCACTGGCTGATCTGGAGTCGATGTAGCTCGCTGTGTGCCGCTGTTGCCAAGCCGCACGTGGGCTCAATCGTAACATGCTCATCGTTGACTATGCACATATCATTTTGCAACATTGCAACGTAGGTTAAGAAACTTAGGAGCATGAAAGATAAGAAAAAGCACAAGAAGCACAAGAAGCATAAGAAAGAGAGCAAAGAGAAGGGGCATAAAGGGGAGAACGGCAGCAAGAAACGTAGAGCCAGCAGCAGCCCCGAGCCCAGTCCGAAAAGGCACAGGCGAGCAGAGCACCATGGCGACCATCCTAAACCTGAAAAGGACCCAAGGTGAGATTGCCGTTGGTTGGTGTTAGCTTGGCATCATATTGGAGATGACTTCATGGTTTTGGAGACGACTGCATCAGCTTTCCTTGGGATAGTTTCAGATTTGCCTTCGTCGCACTGCAAACATTCGCCGTTCAGCGTTGTGTATTTTCCTTTGATGGTAGTGGCCACTGAAGACTTGCCTTCATGATTGGGACGAGATCTTGATAGACAAACTCCTAGACCGGAGACAGCGAGGCTGATTGTGCCGTTGTTTATGACTAGGTATGGCTTGGCCGTAAAGAACGAACATGTGCCAGAGTACAAGACCAGCCAAAGAGCTGCTGAGACCCGGAAGCGATTGGAAGAGGCGGGGCGGAAAAAGGAAGAGGAGGAGAGAGCGCTGAGGAATCAAAGGTGCGTGTCTGGCAACCACACGGCCTTATTTTGTGACGGTACTGCGCTCTTAGAAGAGGCCACATCTGGCACTTGGTGCGGTTTTATTTGCATTGTCTTCACAAAGCGGGACACATTTGAGCAGATGACGGGAGAACGCTCGCGAGGCATGCATTGGCGCCATTTTGTCACAGCCGCATTGTTGAGGGTGCTCTGGGCACGCTATTGTTCTTTTCCTACATTCCAGCTTGAGTGTCGTTTCAACGTTGCATGAAAGGGTACTTTCATGCATTCCACCCATGTCACTTCCTCACTCCATGCACGCTCTCGTCTGCAAGTGTTCCGTACAGAACTGGGTGCGTGGGAGGGCCCCCGTTGCTGTATCTCCGACGAAAGTGGCCTTTCCTTCTTATTGTCCTTGCTGCTCTTGTTGCTTTGTTACCCGCCGTGATTTTGTTGTCGTTGTTGTTGGTGGTGAGACTCTCTGACTCGCGTCTTGCTGGAGCCACACATTTGCTGTTGCCTTGCAGGCACCAACGCAGGGAGTACAAAGTGGGGCGGATATCAGAGGAGGAAAGGGCCAGAAGGCTGGCGGAGATGATGGGCGACGCCGACGAGCACAGGCAGCAGCGGCGGAAGGCGGTGGACAGCGCAAAGAGGCAGGACAGGGCGGAGGACTTGGCGAACGAGGCCGGCAGGAGCAAGTTGAAGCCCCAGGAGTACTCGCATGCCGCAGCGAATGGGGTACACGGGAGGTCCCTGGAAGAGAACGTCGCCAGCAGGCGGTATTACAGCCAGAGGAAGGGGCGTGAGACTGCCGGGTTCCGGAGGTGATGAGTCGACTTCTTGAGGATGGGGAGGCTGGGATGGTCCGAAATTGCGTTTTCAAATCATTTGTAGCATAATATGCGCCTTGGCCAAGACGCAATCTGGTTCTGACACGTGCCATGTGGAAAGCAAATTGGCAGCCGTATGGGCACACAGCACAAATCAAGAAATAATCGCGTTTTAACAAGACCAAGTGTGGGACCGTTGCGATCAATGGGTTTTGGTAGCGATTGCTTAACTGACATCCTGGATGACGCCCCGTTCGCTTGGATCACCACACTGTGCCATCCATAGACACCCAATGACGCCTGGCAAGCGTACCTTTGCAGTGTGTGCTCTGTGACAACGACAGGCAGGGAAATGGTCTTTCATGTATGTCCTGCCATCCACATGCCACAGCCCGCTGCCAAAATGAATCCCAGCTTGCAATCCCCTAAGCACCTCCTGCAACTAACCCACCATCAAGCAGAGCGTCCAGTGCACAACTGCTGCCAAAGCATGTTGCCCAGGCCAGCGGACTGCACGCATTGAATTCCCCTACAAAAATTCCCTGGGATCGCAGACAGTGCCAACAGGGCTGACGCTGCAGCAGCATAGGGTGACACTAGGTAGATCTGCCCCTCCTTGTGCCCCATCCGCCCAGGGAAGTTCCTGGTGGTCGTGGACACCACGACCTCGGGCTCGTTCAATCTTGCAAACGTATCCTTGGGCCCGCCAAGGCACGCCGCACAGGAGGGCGACGCAGGCGTGATGCAGCCAACCGCCTCGAAGATCTCCGCCGCCGTCCTGCCGTCGCAGCCGGGCACGAGAAGGCCATACACGTCAGCCCAGACCTTTTGCGTGGCGGGGACGAGGTAGATGGGCACCTTGACCTGCTGCCCAGCCGTGTGCAGGAGCTTTGCTGCCGCCATGAAGCTCTCCATTTTGCCACCTGGCGGAAACATGGTCTGAGAGGCAATCTGATTGAAGAATCGTTTGGCGGAACAGGACTAGCACCGTACACGAAGCTGCATGCTTGCGGCAACATGCTGGGATCCCATAGTACAAGCCATAGACATTGTTTTCTTGGGCAAAACAAAGGATAACTCCTTGGCATGCTAGGTGATATTTCTTGATTGCATCTGCGCATCGACTGCGTGCACCGTTGCATCAGGAATGATCAGCCTGTCTTGACATGTGTGCAGAATATGATGCTCATCGGTTCAGTCTGTAAAAAAATCAACTTTGGGATTAATTTTCAAATGGGATTTTTGCATATCACAGTCGAGACATGCAGAGTGCCATCGGCTTGAAGGCATAGGGCAGTGGTCGCATCTTTGGACGACAGCAATACAAAGAAATGCAGCTGGCATCAAAGCTGGGAGTTGGGCATGATTCAGTGCCGCATCTGTGCATCGCACAATGCAACCACTGAATCAGTGGGGTGTCTGCACACGCTTGCAGAATCGTTTCTCCCCAGTTTGGGCTTTTCTGCAGGTTGCGGCCCCTATGAGCGCTTGCCAAAAATTCGCCATGGGTGCACACATTGCCCTCGATTCCCACAGTGGGTCAAAACGCCACAAACACTGAGTGAAATCAGGCCCAGGAGCAACAAACACCATATCGGCGCCTTGCTGAGTGCGGCACTTCAATATGTTTTGATGAACGAAACAAAGGGGACTCATCCCACTCACCAGTGCACGAGCCAATGTAGACGCGGTCGATGCAAGTTTCAGAGCACTCGTGCGCAGTCTTCCTGTTGTCTGGAGAGTGCGGGGCCGCGACGAGGGGCTCCAATTTCTGCACGTCGACCCTGTACTCCACCTCGTACCACGACCCATCGTCACTGTACATTGGCTCATAGGCGTCGTGAGTTCTGCTGTCCACATAATCAAAGGTGGCCTGGTCGGCAGGTATGATGCCGTTCTTGCCACCGGCCTCAACCACCATGCTGGTGATGGTCTTCCGCACTTCCACGCCCAAGGCGGCCAGGGCACTGCCGCAAAACTCCATGGCCTTGTAGGTGGGTGCCCGATACAGTAGTCTCTCCTATTATATACAGGATTAGGTCCTTGGCAAGGATGTAGGGGGGCAGTTCGCCATCCAGCACGAACCGCATTGTTGGTGGCACCTGCACTAGGCGTCCAGAGTGTCAATGTTCAGTCGGTGGGTCCTTTAGACACGTATATTTATTTGACAACAGCACAAGTGGAGTACAGCAATGGCGCTACCCGCCTGGGCTGGGTTATTGCAAATATTTCAATGCCTTGAAATACAACGAAGAAAGCCAAAAAACAAATGCTGATGCCTACATGGGTGCCAATGTAACAAAACTGTAACAAAGGCTGCATGGACCAACATGCACTCCAAGACAAAATTCAGGAATAGAAGCCTGCCACCGTCCATATTCTGGCAGATGAATCTAATGAACAAATGCAATGGCGCTCACCACAAAAGGACCATGAAATCGCCAGTGTGCAGCCACCTTGACAAGAAGCTTCCTTGTGCTGAGGATGCAGCCTGCGTCCGCGTTGCCCACCCCAGCGGCAAACATGCCAAAGGCACCGGCATTGCACCTGTGTGAGTCCGCCCCAAAGAGCATCTCCCCAGGTCGACCGCGCCCCTCCTGTGCCGGGGCGATGTGGCGGACGCCTTTGTAGTCAGGTTAGCGCGAAAATTGGAAAGGTTCTCGATGTCATAAAAGTATTTGATTTTGTACTTCCTGGCCATTTCTCTGGGTGCAAGAGAACAATGCACTGCTGTTTATCACTGGGCTCTCACAGCCAGGATCAGTAAAGGGGAGAAAGAGGGGCCCTGAGCTCCATCTGCCACGTGGTTCACTGCCAAAAGAAACGGCACAATAGAACCTAAGATTGCGCAACATGACTGCTTTTCAGGGCATGACACGTCAATCCATCATAATGAGCAGCCCAGTATTGTGATCAGCTCATCAGCCAACACAGAGCAATCAGGCTGCCTGCACCCACATGGTGACGACTGTCACTTGTGGCCGGATGCCGGGGCCCCCGCGCCGCGGTCCGCATGACCCCCCCGCGCGGCAGATACCTTTCCGGGAGCGACCGCCCCCCAGCCGCTCCGCCACCGCGACGGGTTGGGCTTCAATGGCTTGGCGCGCTCTCCCTTGCACAGAGAGCTGCCCTGTGTATGGAACTGCACAGAGCTGCCCTGTGCGTGTGCAGAACTACGGAGAGCTGCTGAGAGCCGCGGGGGCAAAGCAGACCTGCAGAGAGCTACTGAGGGCTACAGAGAATCACAGAGGGCTGCAAAGAACCGCAGAGAACTACAGTAGGCTCCCCTTCTACGGAACCGTACCCGGATGAGCGTGTGCAACTACGCTACGCTACCCCGGGAGCGGTAACGGGCTATGTGGGCGAATATAGGGGAAGTGTGGAATCGAGCCTCGTAGTGACGAAAGCAGGCAGGATCGAGGGGTGGCGATCCTGCTGGTTAGCGCCAACAGGACCACCGCAGGAACGGCTTCCTAATGGCGATTCTCCCAGCAGTGAGCCGGCCACGCGCGGAAATGGACGCCTGCCCGATCGAGTTGAACTCGACGGCGAGGATGCACCCATACCGGTCGACTGTCAGTGCGGCATGTGCCCAGCGAACGGGGCACGATCCCCGTGTACGCACAGAGAAACTCAACACTTGCACCCTTTCAGGACAATTTAGTACAAGCAAGTACCGTGAAGTACTGAACCTGATACCACTTTTCACCAGTGCCACACCGTGCCACACTGTGTGGGCCACTTAGTGCGGTCCGGAACAAGCGTTGGTTCGCTACAAGCAAAGCCACGGCGTGTCCGTAAATAGCCCGGCCACTGGGTGCGGCAACAACATGATCTCCGCCTGACTCATACCCAAAAAGGGTCGTGCCAAACCTCACACAGCACCGTAGTACATTGCTCCTGGGTGCGCCACCCACGCCTTGATGTACGGACAGTCCCAGCCTAAGAGCTATTCTTCGTTACCTTGGGTTCCGAGCCCGTCTCAACCATTGGGTGCGTTACGCGGGCCCTAAAGTATGAGCACCGCCCGCTAACATACTTGTCTGAGTCACCCAGCCCTGCCAATCGTGCCGCCAGCACTTCCCAGCGCCTGGGATCTGTCATGCCGCTCAGGATGCTTCCACACCCATTAACCGTACTGCGGTGCCAGCCGCCGGTTCCCCGTGCTGGGGCACAGCACGTGGTGCGGCACCCACAGTAGTTCAGCACCCTAAGTACTGGAAAACGCACGGGTGCGGCACCCATAGTACTCTAGCTACCTGAAGTACTCGGAAATTGGCCTCTGGCGCACCCACGCCCATGCTTCCATCAGCACGCTCCGTCGCCAGCCATTGCAGCACGCCCGGGCTCATCACGGCCCCTGGCAGTCATCGATCTTCATCATTGAGGCTCAGAATGGTACGTCCATCAGTCACATCATGAAGGAGGGCACGGCATGTCTTCCAATCTTCTGGCACGTCTTCAAAGCGGCAGGTCATCAACGACAGTAATTGGGCACATCTCAAAAGTAACGTGGCCACGGCACAGCTTCGTATAAAGGCATCAGCGGGCTCATCATCTCCTTAACGGCTCGAAATTGGTACGGCTCATCTTCAAGGGTACGGCATATTGTCTCCACGCATCAAGGCATCGGGTCCGGCACATCTTCAACAATGATATGGAAACGGCCCTGCTCAGCTTCAGGAGTTTGGAGTCATGAAGTTGGGCATCAAGGGCTTCATTCCCTGCATATGCAAACCATTTCCATGCCGTCTGCTAAGCACTCACGTACTCGCGATTTCAAAACCATACTAGTACTATTGACTATCAGACCATGATAGGACTTTTCATGACAAGGTACCTGGTTCCGGAGGGGTACTCAGAAAATCGCCACACGAAGCGAATGAATGTGCGAAGAAAGCCCCTGGGGTGCCAGTTTTCCGCTCTTCCCATCCTCTCGGCTTCCGACCCCGTGGGCCCACCGCCTAGGCGCGGCTCAACCGCTTTTTGGGGCAGCGTCCGACACCGGTCTCAGCTTTGAGCGGAAGTTTTTGAGGCGGGGGGAGGGGCGGAATGGCGGCGGCCGGCGGCGTGCGCGTGAACGCGGAGATCAAGGATCTCACGCGGATCGAGCGCATCGGCGCGCACTCGCACATCCGCGGGCTGGGGCTGGACGACGCGCTGGAGGCGAGGAAGGTGTCGCAGGGGATGGTGGGCCAGACTGCGGCCAGGAAGGTGCGGGTGGTGGCGTTGCTTGGGGCGGTGTGTGCGGATCGCGGGAGGGGGCGTGGGCGGGGGGCAGCGCGCGGGAGCACGGTTGCCAGAAATGGTTGCGCGGGGATGCTTGGGGATGATGGCGGCTGGTGGGGCAGGACAGGCCGCAGAGGGCTGCGGGGCGTCCTCGTGGCCGCAGAGTTTTGCCTCCTGCGTCCAGAGCATCTGGCCGGTGGTATGGAAGCAGGGAAATTCCCATGTTTGGGCTGGATGGCCGCTCCACTCTTCAAGCCTCAATGGATTGGCCCCCCCTCTATGGCCGTGGAAATAGTCCGTAACATTTGACCCTTGCCAAAATGAAAGTCGAAAATTCAAGTGCTTGCTGTTTAGGCACAGGACCAAAATTTTCCATTGTTGTGAGATTGTTGCCAGAACTTGCAAGCCAGCCAGATGGTGGTGTAGTTCGGGGTAAGGCTTTAGGACGCACAAATCATTGGGTCAACCGACTGGAATAACAAGTCAGAAGGGAACTCATTGCTCCAAGATGACGCTGTTGTGCTTCATCCATTTCATGCAGCCTGCCACTGAACACAGGCTGGCTTTGCTAGCAACGATGCACCGCCCTGTAGTAACCAGCCCCTGTAAGTGCATGTCTTGTTCGGAATCGTGCACCTGAGCGTTTGTTGTGTTTCTCCTGCACTTGAGAAGATTTCTGCTTCAGCTTTCCTAGCTCGGAACGGCATAAATCCGGGTTGAAGAGATGAAAATTCCATGCAGCAGGAACAGTAATATGTCACGCAGTGCACTGAGCAAAAATTTATGGTTGGGCCCTGTTCGAAGATGTGGAAGATGATAATGGAGAAGTCCCAAATTCCCGGGAGAAACACAGAGCACCTTGCAGCTGTGCGCACCATAATGGATGACGTTGCTATTCCCATTGGAATTTCTCTTGTTGCTGTGGCAAAACTTTGACATCAGCCAGTCTCACTCTCCTTGAGATTTTATCCCTTACCAATGGTGGCTTCGCTTCTTGGCAGTCAAGACAGTGTGTGGCATGGTGACCAGTAAGTGCTAAATTTAGAAGCCCAATTTAATCCTACACCCTGAAACACTAGGCTTGCATCTTTGTACATTGCATAGCCCTGTGGACAGAAATGGTAAAGAGATTGGGGAAAGATCCTGAAAAGTGGCTGGGTTCTGTGTTTCTAGGCGGCTGGAGTTATCCTGCAGATGATTAAGGATGGCGCGATCGCTGGGCGAGCAGTCCTGCTCGCTGGTCAGCCCGGCACGGGCAAGACTGCAATCGCCATGGGGATGGCAAAAGCGCTTGGAGAGGAGACTCCCTTTGCGATGATGGCGGCCTCTGAGATATTCTCCTTAGAGATGTCGAAGACCGAGGCACTGACACAGGTGAGTGGCACTTTGCGTAGTCCACTCTTAGTGCATTGCCTCCGTTGGGCAAACAATTACCTTGAACCTTGCAGGAATTCTGGGTCATTGCAGGCAATTGACAACTATCAGTGCAAAGAGTTTCGAGGCAAATTGATGCTGCCTACAATACATTGAGGGCAATGCCTGATCCTTGTCACAGGTCGCTTTTTGGGTCATGGGTGCATCGACATGAAGAATATGATGTGGACAGCCATGTGTGGACTGTCAGTTTTTATCAATGTTTGTGGAGATGTGAGGATGGCGATAGTAGTTGTGCAGTTTTCAAAAGATTCTTTGCCTCTGGTCTGCTCAAATCGTTAAGTTCGTGACATACGAATCGTATGTTTGCAATGCGTTTCAGCATCCATTTCTGGTGTTTCTCAACAGCCACTAATCCAGTCTGTTACTTTCCAAACCTTGCCAGCGGGCTTATTAGCAGATATTCAGTCGGAACCGCGCCCAGGTTGGCATGTGCACAGAGGCTGCTCCTTTCAAGGCAGCTGAAGGACCTCTCGAATGCGGTCACCAACGTGTCCTTTTGTTTCCCATCCAGGCATTCAGGAAAGCAATTGGCGTTCGCATCAAAGAAGAAACCGAGATTATCGAAGGGGAGGTGCGAAAATGCAAGCCGTTAAATAAATATTTCACGTCCATCGTGCCATGTGTAGTTTCTCAAGATCAATGTGATTCTGTTGTCACGGAGTTGTGCGTGTCAATTTGCAATGGTCGTGAATGCAGAGCACTTCGTCTGCTGCGTTCATGGCTTGGCAGCCATCACACACGATACAAAAATGCAGGACCGCATAGGCACGATGGAGGCAGCTCTTGCAACGTTGTCCTTCTTGCTTGGAACTGGGGCCCTGCAATTGGCGTTGATAAGCATGGAGACATTTCTTTACCTTATAACTCTGCAACACTTTGGCTGAACCCTTGCTGCGAGGTCTGGAGCCAGTTGGCAGTCCAGTATCATCTCTCGACTGCAGCCGCCGCATGGCAAGCCCAGCTCATGTGAATTGTATGTGTGCATTGGCGTGAAGCGCCTCTTGGCTGTTCCTGCAGGTTGTGGAAATAGAAATCGACAGGCCAGAATCCGGGAACGTGGCAAAAACGGTGAGCGTCTTGTGATATATGATGTAGTGCCCAAGGGCATTTTTTGTCAGTTGTTGAAGACAGTAGAGAGGGCACTCCTGCATCGAATGCAGCAGAAACGGTGACATGCCATACACTCTAAAAAGATAATGTAGAGCTGGATTCGTACTTGTGCAGTTCTGTATAAAACGCAGTGCTGTATGTCACCAGAAATGGGCAAGTCCAACCCGATATTTTGCGTTCTTCTTCGGAAGAAAGTAAGCGAAAAACAGGGCTGTATGTCACTGGGCCCGGATGAGGATTTCACGGATGAGAGGTGTGCAGGAGATGCACGAGATCCCTTCCGCACGTTGTAGGGCGCCGCCATTCACCAAGGGCGCCCAAGCAACTGAATCAGCCGCCAGAAGCGCGAGGCCCTGAGTTGCGGACGCAGCGCAATCAAAGGAGCTGCCAGTTTTCTAATGCGTATTCAATTCAGCGCTTCCACTGGTGGCGAAGGCGCCTCGGGGGGGCAAGGGGACGAGTTGCGTTAACAACTTCGAGCATTAGTTCCATTAAAGCAAAGACTTTATTTTTAATTCCAGTAAAGCAAAGACTATATTTTTAATTCCATTATAGCAGCGATAATGACACATGCTGTTGGTATCCAGGGAAAGCTGACGATGAAGACGACCGAAATGGAGACCCTCTACGACCTGGGGCAAAAAATGATCGAGTCATTGCAAAAGGAAAGGGTCCAGGCTGGGGATGTTGTTGCCATCGACAAAGCCAGCGGTACGAGGCCTCTTAAGATTGGGATTAGGATGAAGATTCGGATTCTGAAATTTGTGCTTATATATTTAGCAATTGTATTCCCAAATGTGGAATCGGAATTGGCGGATTGCGGTCGAATTGGCGTCGATGCCTGGCAACAGTTGGCACCCACCGTCCATGTGCCAGAGGGTGCCGATTGCTATGGGAACAGGCGCTGCAGCAAGGTTTGGCCAGTGGCAACGATGGGCTCAACTGCTGAACTGCGTACTGCGGTCATGTATGCAGTCAATCCTTCCTTCGCTCACAACCGTGGCGTTCCGTTCTTCACGTGAACTTCCATTGCTAAATGCTCCTGAAAACCGGTTGTTTGCTGCCTGCAGGGAAAGTCACCAAGCTCGGGCGGTCGTTCGCCAGATCCAGAGATTACGATGCCATGGGTATGTCTTCTTCCCTCGATTGAGCCGCTTCATTCCATTCCCGCTGATGTGGTGCGGTCTTTCAAAGAACGCGTCACGTAATGTTTAGTAATGTTAACAATCGCGGAGACTCATGGCCATCGCTCGTGGGTGCAAAGTGGCCATTTGGGACTGCAGTGCACATGATATACTGATGTGGTGCCGCGACCAGGCCAAACATGCACTTGCGAGTGACCGACACCGTTGCGGGGGCATGACACATTTGGGGAGGTGACCTCACAGCAGGGCTTCCATGGTGTGCGTGGAGTGCCAACAACAATTAGAGCGTCTTTATCGGTCGGTGCTATTGAACCGGCGGTGCTATCCAGGAACGGTTCTCATTTGCTGCCGTGCCGCCTTACTAAGGCGGCATTTGCCGAATAGCACTGGTGCTATTGCTCCCTGCGCGCATCCGCAGTGGTGGGTGCTATTCCTACGCCGAGCAGCGTCGCGGCAGCACTACAATGTTCTGCATGAATAGCACGGGGTGCTATTCTGGGGTGTTATTTGGCCTCGAGCGGTGCTATTCATGCACAGAATAGCACTGCTCGGCGCCGAATAGCATCGGCGGTGCTATTGGGGTGCTATTGCTCTCCAACCGTTAATGATGGTTTTTTGACGTGGGTGCTATTCAGATAGCTGCATAGCACCGCCAGGACAATAGCACCCACCGATAAAATGCTTTTGGTAGTCGAATCCAGTGCCATGTTGTCTCAAGTCCCGGTGCCCTTAATTTATATGACCTCCTACCACGTCACCGGGATGCAGAAAGGACTGCCGCAGGTGGATGATGAGTGAAGTATATAACGAGGAAGGGCCAGGAACTGAGAGTGATGTGCTGGAAATGTGATTCGCTAATCATCCTCCCGGCACCCCTTCTCTTCCTCCCTAATGCTTCAATCTTCAGTTTCGCCCATTTCTTGTGCACAGGTCCGTCCACTCGCTTTGTTCAGTGTCCCGAGGGGGAGCTTCAGAAAAGGAAGGAGGTTGTGCACGTCGTGACCCTTCACGAAATTGACGTCATAAACAGCAGAACTCAGGTGACGATGTTGGCGCTTGATCTGCAGTTTCTGTAACGCCGATGTTGGCGCAGCGCCGTCTGCTGCACAATTCAAAATCGGAATTGCTGCGACGGTTTTAAAATCGTGGGCGTGAAAAGCATGACTTCGCAACATGTGGCAGGACGTAGCTTTTTGAGACACCTGTTGGCACAAACGCAAGTATGCATACCAGTGCGCGTCCCCCACCTTGCCCTGTGCTCTATCTTCAATTCCGACTCCCGTGTGCTTTAGGCTCGTGAGGTTCCTTGGCGTCCCTCCTTCTCCGCTGCTCTGCGCAGTCTGCCGTATCCATCTCCTCATAGTCTCCGTATTGTTTTTTGCTCACCTGCCTTAGAATCGGTTGCGATGCCACGGCGTGGGCTGCGATTTTTCTGCGACGTCGTGAGACTCCATATATTCCCTGCACCCTTCCTTGGAAAAATGCACCAACAGTCCAAATGCTGCAATTGAGTACACGACCGCACTATAACTCCACTGCATTCACCACACAGCCACTCCAATAACCAAGTATGCCGATGTGTTTCAATTCAGCAGCAGTAGAAGCAACAATGGTAGCAAATTACATCACCTGGACACTGAAATGTGATGTAGTAATTTGGGAAAAAAAGAACACGGTGGCACGATTGTCTTGCACTTTTTGTTATGCGGTCGTCTCTGATCCTTGCGCGGCGATGTCCCTCCGATACGCATACGATACGTATATACAATACACATGGCTCAAGGCACTGATCCTCTACATCCGGTGTGGCAGGGCTTCCTGGCCCTGTTCGCCGGCGACACGGGCGAAATCCGGTCAGAAGTCCGTGAGCAGATTGACACCAAGGTGGCGGAGTGGCGGGAGGAGGGCAAGGCGGAGATCGTCCCGGGGGTGCTCTTCATAGACGAGGTCCACATGCTGGACATCGAGTGCTTCTCCTTTCTGAACCGGGCCCTGGAGAACGACATGGCGCCCGTGCTGGTGGTGGCCACCAACCGGGGCATCACCAAGATTCGGGGCACGGAGTACCGCAGCCCGCACGGCATCCCAATCGACCTGTTGGACAGGTAGCGCTGGAGGGAATTGGCGCCTTGAAACAGGAATGGGGTGCGGCAACCGCGTGCTATCATGATAAATTATGGTGCCTAGTCGTTACGGGCGGATTGGTTGATTTGTTGAGATTTTATGCCTCTGGTTATTTCCATCACAGTGGGCGATATCTGTGTACTGTGCTACGCATGGAACTGATTGTCATCATGGACGTTCATGTGCAATGTGAACATCTATGCCGACAAGGGACGCTGACAACGTCTATGCTGATGATTAGTTCTATGCGCAGCATAATACTTCCTCCGCACAAGGTTAATTGTCCCCTTATTTGAAAGACAAAATTCGTTACAAAGACGGCCTCGAAATTACAAAACAAGTCCAAATTTGGATATATGGGGCTCCAAAAATCTCAACCACCGATTGTCAAGAAGCACAAGTAGTAATGCTCGACTCCTTTGATCGTTAGGCTGGAGGAAAGTTTGTCATTTTGAACCCAAGTATCGAGATTTACTAGGTAAAAGACCCTTGATACAAAGTACTGCCAAATCTTCAATACTGAAAAGATTGACTTGAAAATTTGACCATATACTCCAAAATTACAAGCACAACTTTGGGAAACATTTCATTCAAAAATGATGTTGGTACGATGGAGAAACAATGTCCCAAAGTCGAAGGGGACAATTAATCTTGGAAGACGAAGTATATGACATGTCGGCTGCGAAAGTTGGATTTGCTCCCATTTTACCGCACTGCCGACTCCCTTTTGCTTGCATTTCATCCCTCGATGGATGAACAACTAACTTGATGAGAAATCTCGCAGCGTCTATTGATAGCTGTAGAATGCACCCGGCACTGTAAACGTTGCTCCAGATAGGCAGATTTTGAAAGTGCACAATCACCGTCCCCTTGCAGGTGGCGCCTGTTCACGCTTTGGCGATAAACTCAGAATGGATTGTTTGGGCCAGGCTGCTCATAATCACCACCCAGCCGTATGAAGAGGACGAGATTCGGCTCATTCTGGACATTCGGTGCGAGGAGGAGGACGTCGAAATGACGGATGAGGCCAAGGAGCTCCTCACCAAGATTGGGCACGAAACGTCCCTGCGGTAAGTGTCTCACAGATTTTCGTGCATGTTCTGTGTATTTGCCCCCCGCTTGAAAACAGCGGCAGCTGTAAAAAGCGATGAATATGTGCATTGCAGAATTTTGTGATGGCAGGTGCTGTTGCTTCCAAGTTGTGCGATGACTCGTTCAAAAAGAAGACACGCCTCCCACATACACGCACGCGCCCTTTGCTGCACTCTAATTGTGTTTGTCACACACCGGCACCTACCCTTCGATGGACCTGCGAGCACGCTGGGGGCGGCAAGCTCTCTAATCGCCACTGCCCCGCTACTCGCGGCGTTTGCTGTGCCAGGTACGCCATCCAGCTCATCACCTCCGCCTCCATCGTGTGCCAGAAGAGGAAGGGCAACGAGGTGGACATTGAGGACATCAGCAGGGTGTACCAGATGTTCTGCGACGTCAAGAGGAGCACGCAGTACCTGCTGGAGTACCAGGAGCAGTACATGTTTAGCGAGCTGCCTGAGGACGACCGGGAGGAAATGAAGGAGTCGTAGGTGCGTAGTCGTTCCGGGGAGTGCTCAATGCGCTGGTGGCTTCATAGCGTAGTATATTGAGCCCTTCGGCATCAAAAAATTTCACCCTTACGCGTTTTTGCTCCGCAGAATGTTTTATTGAAAGATCGTGATTTATTTTGTTGTTTCCTCCGCAAGAAAAAACCAAGCGTTGCGTTAGTGTGCGCAAGGGTTGAATATACTGCGGTAGGACGAGAAAAGGAAGGAGGGCGGGATACTGGCGTTAAGCTGTTCCATCCAGCGCATGTTCGATCCATGCTTACATAGTGTTTGACAGTTTGCAGTTCATTGGGTTGCTGCCAGTGGCTTATCAGCAATGCGCAATGTGTTTACAAGTCGTGTACCTCTCACGGCGTCTTGGGGCCCGTCCCTTGTCACTGACAGGGAGAACAAAGGGGCGCGAGAGGACCGACTGGGCGCGATTTCGGAGAGGTGCGGAGGGACGTGGCGAGCGCCAATGCCGGGATGCGCCATCGCAGTAGGGTCACTGTGCTGGACGTTGAAGTCGGCATCTTGTGCCGACGGCGCACGGGAGGCAGTGGGTGCCTCGGGCGGCGCCGGCTGCGCAGCAACGCCGCGCGCGCCGGCATGTGGCGCACAGGGCCTCCGCCTAGTGGGACTGTTTGCGCAGCAATAGGTTGGCAAGGTGGAGGTGTCATCGGTCCCGGTGGTTTGGTCTCCAGCCCTGGAAATCTCAAGTCCCAGTCCTGCTAATCACCTCGCTTGTCGCCGGTGTGCATACAACTCGACGCGCGCAACCTGGAGTCCCAAAGTTTGATGTCGGCGGACGACAGCGCTAAAGGGGGCATGACGCTCAGTAAGCGACTCTGTTTGACTGGCGTGCTGCGGGTGGACGAGGCGGTCTGCTGCGCCCCACGCAGATGCGGCCACCAGCCAGTGTGTGAACTTGGCAGAAACATTGAATGAAGACATGCAAAAGCGATTTTTGTCCAAATCTGGGACAGGTCTGGACTTGGGTAGGCCGGGATGTGGTGTGTGATTACAGCGTCCAATCAATACTGCAACATGCCCGGCAACGCTTCATGCCCTTTGTCATGAGTGTGCGAGAACACCCCAGAAAACACAAACAAGATTTGACTACCATCCTCGATGATTTCTTCAAAAGAATATTGCACCATTTCTGCTGCGCTCCGAAAGTATACCAAAAACGGGGAAGCCGGTGTGTGTGGCGCGGGAAGAGTCCCCTCAATGGAACCTTCTACTGCGACCACTAGCCCCATCACCTACTCCTAGACATCTGGCGCCACGACAGCAGTGCGCGCACGATGAAAACTTTGGCCACATGGCTAAGCCGAAAGCCACGCCAATGGTGAAGCCACGAGTCGAACCCACAAGTCACACTACGAGCCCCTTGATGCTGAATCAGCCTGCCCGCCGGCAACGCCGCAGCGCCCAGGCGAGCAATGGCACAGCGACCACTGCGCCGGCGGCGGCCATCCAAGCGATGTGGGTGCCCGTCCAGGGACGCCTCGCGCCCCTCTCGTCCGTGCCGTTGTCGAACAACTCACGCAGGCCGAAATCCTGCGCCCAGTGGTCGTCGTCGACGTCGTCGTTCGTGCCTTCGCTGAAAAGGACGTCCAGGCAGAAGGACTCGACGTCGATCTGGCGGTCCTCATCAAAGAGAGCGGCAAGGCACATGGGTGCCTTGTCGTCCTGCATGATGCTCTGTACCCGCTCGCGCTGTTTGCAAAGATGCACATTGATGTACAGTTAATGGCTGTCGAAATGCAGCTCCTTCTGGGAGAGAACGATACAGCAACCAACTGTAATGTGCATGTGTTGCAGCAGGCTTCCCCAAGCAAGTGTTTGAAGGAGAATTGAATGTTCTTGATTTGCCAAAATTAGCTCTTGTCCTTGCACGACTGACTGATGCTGTACCGCGCCGTCGGCATCGCAGGACTCCGAGGGCGCGCTGTGGGAGATCAATTGCTTACCTCTTCCTTGAAGAGATTCTTGAGCCCGAAATCGAAAGCGTCAATGGAGTCCTCCAAAGCCGGGTGCACGGCTCGGATCCGGGGCGACTGGGCATCGGTCGCCAGCTGACGCGACGAAAACTGCAACACAATGGCCGAATCCAGACATCACTTTCGGCGAGCCCATAATTTCGAAGTTTCACTTTATTGCAGTCTGATGGTTTTCTTGTCTTTTCCAGAATTGGTAACTGTGAAAGCCAAAGCAAGACCGAATTGCCTCCCGGCCACACCTTGTGAGCCGAAACAGTGGGGTGATTCCCCGACGCCTTGTGCGAATGGGTCCTTCTTAGCTTCTTCCCGCTGCTCGACCTCTTGTTTTTGCGCCCTGCGTTTGCGGCACACAGCATTCATTCAAAAAACGCCTTTGGAAGTTTAAACTTATGCACCAGCTTCCGCATTGAGCGACTGAGTCGTCCCCAGTGACTCAGCGACCTTTCCAAACACCCTTTCAAGAAAAACAGGTTCAAGCCAGTACTACTAAGTGCTGAGTGTCATGCCAGCCTTTAATAATCAAGGATCAACCCGTATTGGTGCGGTCACTCGCACAGTCAGAGTGAGGCTTGTGTGACTCACCGCGCCTATGCGCGATGCTGCTGTGCTTGGCGGAAGGCATCCCTGCGACACACGCCACAGCGGAGCGCAAATTCAGGCGGGCGGCGCTCGACAAAACGCGCGTCGACGAGCCTCGCCCGCCGCAGTCGAAGCGCAATCCCGTTTTCTGGGGACCTCGCCGGCTCGCCGGGACCCCGCACCCCCAGTCGCGCCTGCCGAATGGATTTCCGTTCGATGGATGCATCCAACAATGGATACTCTTCAGGGGAGCGGGAAGCGCGCATCGACGCGAGGGCCCAGCCTGTTGTTACTCGCGATTGCGAGTGCCCTCTCGATGGCGATTGGACTATCCTCGCGAGGCGGGACAGCTCCATTGGCACACGAGCAGTTGCGCAACGATGCGACGCCTCGGTCCTGTTGCGAGACTTCGCTCGTAGGGATTGACCCCTCCCGCGTTGGCCACGCCCCGCGGTCCGCTGTCCTGATTATTCAATCCGTGGACTCTCCTCCGGCGTGGAGTGGCCAGCCATGGCGCCCGCATGCATTCCCCCCGTGGCGCCAATCCACGCATTGACGCAATCCAGGCCGTCCGCGCCGCCGACAACAAAATCGAACACCCCCTCCGCTCCCACCCCGTCAGCAAGCCCTGTCCGCCGTAGCGCTCGAGCACAATTGGGGAACCGCGACCGGCGTGGCCGGCGCCCATCGATGCTGCCATAACGCTGCTCCCGATGCATCGGACATCCAACGGACGCATTGGTCAACCCTCGGCGATGAGCACTCACTGACAGCAGCGCCTGCGCGTTCCCGGGGGCGCTTGGTCGGCGGCAGTTCGAAGGCGCTGGGGAGTCCGGGACGGGAGTGACGAGAGTGAGACTGGTCTGTCTGAGGTTGGCTTCTGGCTTTTATGCCCCGCCCCTCCCGGCCCGGCAGCGTCCGAGGTTCAACGTGGTTGGTCCGAGGCAGGAGGTAGGACGGGTAGTGGACGGGTCACGTCGACGTGGCCCCCAAGTACAGCGGCCGCCGCCCACCGATTCGGGTGTCTGTCGCTCGGCGCTGCGGACGTGGAGGTGCGGCCTTCGTGGGGGCGACGCGTGGCTCTGACGGGGTCCGACGACGACGGCGCTCGGATGAGACGAGCAAGGCGTTGTGGCGCCGATTTGGGACCATTGGGTGTCTCAGCAGGCAACATGGCAAAGCCGTCAAAAACACCCCCAAGCAACACGCCGGTTGGCAAACTCTTCGCACGTCCAGTTTTTCAAATACAAAGATCCGTTCAATTTTTCTGAGGCCTCAAGATCTATGGTTACCGCCAAGCACGAAAAGGCGAGATTACATCCATGCCATAACCCAGGGTCTGCGCACCTTGCTCATTAAACTCAATTATACCGGCGTCACCAGTCTGAGAAAAAATGGTGCCTTCTCTGCACCAAATTAAATGTACATCCAGCACCAGACAGGGCATCCGGCCACTCGCCCTGTCTGTGCGCTGGCCTCGTCAGCGGTCCAGTGCGCCCTGCGACCATGCGGTCATCAACGAGTGGGTGAAACTTGGAGGAACACTGAACGAAGACACGTAAAACCGATTTCTGCCCAATTTTGGGACAGGTCTGGACATGGGTTGGGTGCGATGTGGTGTGTAATCACAGTGTCCAATTAACGCTGCAACTCTTTGCCGAAAGCAGTAAGCTCGTTATTCGTGCGCTCGCTCGGACACACTGAATCCAAGCCCAAGCCATTGCGCCAACTGGCCAGATGACAGCTCGGAGCAAGAGCTAACAGCCCCGTTGATGGTACGCCTGTCATCATCTGGATGCGGTGCAGCCGCACATAAGAGTAAAAGAGCCACCACAAGAGGCGGCTGAGCAGCAGACAGCAGGTCGAATGCACATCCAGGGCCTCTGGGCCCATGGGCATCAAGGAACCATAATGAGGTGCTCCACAAAGGGATGCTTTAATGGGAGGTTGCGCAGCGGTCATCTGCCATGGCAATTGAGCAGCAGTACCTTGCAGTTCATGTGGAGCAGCATAATTTCCAGTTCCACGTCGCACAGGGGTTCGTCAACGAAGCTACCGGACGAACGCAATGCACAAGGCATCATTGATCAACACGGACAATGAACATGAGGAGCTGCGTTCAACAGCTTCGCTGATACCAGCACCAATTGAGATACGGGGTGCTGCCTTTGCAGCCCAATCACATGGGTATGCCCCCTAACCTTATTGAGATTATAAATCGCCTAAACGATGTGGCAGCTGATCAATAATTACGTTGGCAAAATAGCTACAAAGCAAATGTCAAAGTGCCATGGCAGAGAAAATGGAAATGAAGCAACACTTTAATCTTACATTAAAAGGGCGATATGCAGATGGAACAGCCCGTCTGCTTCCGCATGTGCAAAACACCAACAGTGTTCGAACGAAGTCTTCTCAACAATAACGAATGAAGTGAATCCCAGAAGTGGCACGACATCCCTCGGGACACGTCTGCCTTCACACATGGCGTCCCAGCAATCGCATACACAGCAAGGCAGCCCCCTTCCCATAAAAATGCACGCACTAAGGGGACCACACTGCCATGAACATCCTGTGCGGCAAAGGTGACGCTTCCCCACTACTTTGCAGCACAATATAGCCACACATCTGCTCAGGAAGTTGCCAAGGGCGCTTGCTACAGAATGGCCCCCCATCATTTTCCCATGGTGAAGCTCTCCAGATACTCCACTTCCTTCTTGCTTCCGATGAACAGCGGCACCCTCTGGTGCACCGCGGTGGGGTCGATGTCCAGGACACGCTCCTTGCCCGTGGACCCCATCCCGCCGGCCTGCTCGGCCAGGAAGCTCATGGGCGCGCACTCATACAGCAACCTGAGGCAGTTCATCCTTCAAACTAAATGCCCAAAGTATGACAATTGATGTCACTGCACTTGCAAGGCTATGGAAATTGTGCTGCAGCACAACCCTGCCCATGTCTGGTCCGCATTTGGCAAGGCTTCTGTCTGTGGTAAACTGTGATGAACTGCAAGGCGACGATAGGCATGAACCAGGGCACACCGCTTCCAATTGTTTCGTTCCGTGGTGTTGGTCATCTTTTCAAGTGCAGCTGGGCCAAAACTCCGACGGATGCAAAGGAAAGGAAATCAAATCCCACCTGAGTTTGCCATTGGGGGCATTGGTGGCGCCTGGGTAGCCGTAGATGCCCCCATACAGCATTGTACGATGGAAGTCGCCCACCAGGGCGCCGATGTAGCGTGAGGAGTATGGCTTGCCTCCCCACTTGTCAGGGTCTTTGAGGCTGTTGATGTAGGCCTTCACGTCGTCGTCCCACATGTCATAGTTGCCCTCGTTGAAGGAGTATATCTTGCCAGACTCCGGGACCTGCAGGGCGTGGTTCGTTACAGTGCAATCAACAGGAAATTAGGGTCAACAGAACAATAGAATTAGCAGTATTATAGAGGGAAAACAAATTTACAATAGGAGCAACTACAATCATGTGTGTGAGGGCAATGAAGAAATTATCAAGTGATGTGATGTACGGCGTTTTACGGTGCCAAAAGATATGGTGAATATGGTATAGTGAAATGAATATGGGGACAATGGAGGCAGGGGATGAACATGCTCACAGTGAGAGTTATTCAGCTGGAACGTTCATCCTGTAATGCATCGGGTTACAGCCTTGTTTGCCGTGCCTGGGAGCGACCGTGTGTGAGGAGTCTGGTCTCCATCATAATATGCATACAGTGGGAGTACCCACATAGCGTCCACACATGACATGGCCAAAAACAGGGTGCTATTTGGAGCTGGGCGCTACAAAATAATATACTCTAATGCTTTTGGTCCTGACTAAGTCCATTAAATGAGGATCCTCATCACTTTCTGCACAATTAGAGACCCACTGCTCGTGATACGAGCTGTTTAAATGCGAAATTGATCCATCACACTTGGCATCCTCTCCCATGAATGCATAGCATTCGAGCACTGTGTTTGAGGCTCGCTTTGCCATGACACATTCAATTTCTTTTGCACCTGCAAATGATGGTCAAACAATTTGCAAAAGTCCAAGGGAATGAACATACCAATCTCAGCAAACTTCCAACACGGTGTCTGTCACAATCCATCACGTCGACTTGCACATTGATTTGCACTGGAGTGCAGGCATCATCAATGCTTGATGCATGGATAGTGCCACATGAATAAGGCGGCCTTATGATTGCGTGGCGTCGCTTGGTGGGGGCGTCAAGTGGCAATGTGGTGGCGTGGTGGTGGCACTGAAATGATAATCCTTTACCTGTGTTCCTCATTGTGTCACTACTGGGTTCCATTTTTTAATAAACAAAATGTTTCATGAAGTGTCTCCAAATCCCAAAGTATGTAATGAATCTCGCTGCGTATTACAAACTTGAAATCTCACTGCCAAATGTGCATGCACAACGCATGGCAGGGATGTTTCTGTGACACCACCGGTGATCTGATCGTTACCATCAGTGCCTCACACAACGTTCAGATCTGTTTCACAACTCTGTGCACAACCAATGAACGTTGCACATCTATTGGATACCTCTTTTGGGTGCTCTTTTAGGTCCTATTTCACAGCAGAGCTGCACAATGTACTACAGAAATGGTGCCAAGCCAAAAACGGGGCACCAGCGGGGGCTGGGCGCTATTGAGGAGGCGCTTTATATTTAACCCCCACTGTAGCAACAATAATATTCAATGCTTTCGATGATGAATGCAAAAAATAAAATGAAAGAATGAAGATAAGATCATGATCACATGATCGTCACCATTGAACAGGCTGGACAACAGGGTAGGCACAAATGTTGAAGTGTTGAGGTGTGTTCAAGGTGACAAAATATCACTGTTGAGCCCACAAGGCAATGGCAGGCATATTTCCATCCCCCAAACATGTTCACAACAGCAAGCCACCATGTCAATTTTTCGCAACACATCCCCTCATCCCATTGTATTTTGCTTCAATATCCCACCTGCATGTAAGGGTGGGACATAACGAACTCGCCGATCAGGGGGTCCAGGGTGAACCCAAACACGCCATTGCCCACAGAGAGGACCAGCACTGTGGAGGTGCTGTACAGGCAATAGCCTGCGGCCTTGAGCATGTTGCCAGGTTGGCAGACGTTCAGCACGCAGTTGTTCAGTAGAGTCTCGCCATCCTCCGCATCCTCCATGCTGCACTCCTCACTGTGGCCATAACAAACTGATGGCTAATGTGTGCAAATCAACTGAATGGATTGGTTGACTTGGGCTTGTCATAGTCGGACACTCACTGCATGATTCAGGGCAACGTTATCAACCTCAATGTCTTGCACCAGACCGATCACATAATCCAAGTGCAAAGCTAGTTTTCCCAAATAAGGTGCTCAACATGTTGTGAAATTTCGCTGAACTCGGTTTTCTTCACATGTTGCCAGAAGGCAAAGGCAAAAGCTCATTGCAACGTTGACAGTGTTCCAACTGGGACCGTCAGCATCGAAGGCGATGCATTTCCAAACACAGTGATCAAGACTGCTTCCTAGCTTCATGATCCGCCAACACAGTTCCCGAGCAATACGTCAGAAGAACGCAGAGGCGAACAGCGTTGTCTCAGTAGCGGACACTGAGGAAAGAGAGAATGCGCGCAACCAATTGGTCATTGTGAGCTCGGGGAACAAGCAATGAGTGGAGCAGCCCGGTGGCTGTCCCAGAGAGAAATACAGCGAAGCAGTTCCGATGAATAGGTGCCACCCTGAACCAGCGCTCATCAAAGGCCCCGCAGGACAGTCCCAGAGCGCGCTCAAACCAGCGCGGGGCACCCCAAACCCCCACCAACCTGGGCAGGTAGGCGCCGAAGATGGACCCCACCGAAATCCCGGCGTCGATGTTCGACGAGCCGTCCAGCGGGTCGAACACCACCACATAGTTCCCGGAGTACGTCTCCTCCACGAACACAGGGAACTCCTCCTCCTCGGACGCGATGATCCCCGTCCGTCCCGTGGACCGCAGGCAGTTCGAGAACACCGTATTGGACACGACGTCCAGCTTCTTCTGCGCCTCGCCCTGCACGTTCTCCTCGCCCGCCAGCCCCGTGAGATTCGAAATCCCCGCCCGGCCCACCAGCGACGCAATCTGCTTGCACGCCAGCGCGATCGACGACAGCACCACCGCGAACTCCGAGTCTATGATTCCCAGCTGCTCCTGCTTGATCAGCCACGTGGTGAAGGTGGTGGCGCAGGCGCTGTAGTCGCCCTGGTCAGATGCAGCCGAATTGGCCGACGGCGCCTCTGTGGCGGCCGCCTTTGCAGCCACGCCGCTGCTGACGGCGGCCTTCTGGGTGCGTGAGGCGCCTGATGCGGAGCATGCCGCCTTTCTCGCCGCTCGCCTGGGCACGAATCGGGCTGGGCGCGGCAGCGGCGAGGCACCCAGGCAAGCGGCCTTCTGTGGCAGATCGACCGCCGCGTGGCTCGCCATCCTGGGCCGGGGGGCGGAAGAGCGGGAGGGGAAAGGCGCGGGGGAGGAATGGGTTGGGACGGCGCCGCTCCGGGCTTTGCGCAAAAGGGGGCCTACGTGGCGCTGACCGGCGTCCTTGCTATGTTTGTGTGGCGCAGGCCGCCCGAATGACCAGAGGGTGGGCACTCGTCACGCGCTTGGCTGTGATCGTCAGCCTTGGGTCGTCAGACCTTCTGCTTCGCGAGGGACGGAAAAATGGGGGGTTGGATTCCGCGGGGACTGGGTTTGGAACGAGGCGCCCGGCCGCCGACCGGGGAGCGTTTTGTAAGGTTTTGCGAACGAGGTGAATTGCTGCCCTCTGGTTGCAATTTATTGGCCGGCTGCTGTGAATTACGTTTGCCTTTTTGCCTTGTTCTGTAAAAAATCTTGATGAAGATGAATTACGTTTGTTGTGTTCCAGTCGGCCCATCAACGGAGGCTGCAGCTTGCCAACCGACGGGCATGCCTCTCCTGCTCAAGAGCTGCCAAGGCCTCACAGAAAAGATGACGCGGAGGGCGCCAGGCGGTATGGGAACATTTTCCATGCCAATATATGTCACCACACCGAATGGGGCATTGTGCTTGAGCCCAATTCGACCTCCCGTTTGCAACACGCAAACCTTAGGGATGGTCTTGGGCTGCCAAAGACAAGTACCCTCAGCATGAATGAGTGAGAAATGTTTGTACATCTAGGCGGGGAAATTGCAGTAGACTCCTTGTGCTGCCACAGGCGGTAAGAGGGACCACATGCAGTGCGGCGTCTTCCAAAGGAAATGAATGGTCTTCAAAACTGCGAGGGTCGTCAAGAAGGCGCTTGGTGTAATGTCACTTCTTGTACTCTCGTAAATTGATGTGTTCGGATAGCCAGTATATAGGTTATATATTGAAGGCGGTGCGGAAAGCAATGCCGCCCTCCACATGACCTTTACACCAGGAACGACAATATACACTCGGTTCTCTAGTAAGCGAAATTTTCGCTACCACGCAAAAGCCAGGTGTCTCCATTCTTCAGTGATGAGAAGGTCATCATGCCAGGTCACAGGCATTGTGGCTTCAACAGAAAGGATTGCCTGCGTCCTTCAGGAAGCAGAGCCAGGGCACGCCCTCAACACTTGTTCAGCGCTTTGTCGGCCTCGCCTTTCCTCAGCGAGTGCAGCAACTGCCGGCACATTGGCGCGTCACCTAGATGGCGCCACCTAGGATCGGAGGTAAAGCCAGTAGGAGGCTTCTCCTGAATTGTTCCTCGAGGTATCTGGTTTGGGCTGGCATGCATTACACCACCACCACCACCTCCACCCTGGCCCTTCTTCATGACAACCATATCGTGGTCCCAACGCTGGAATGCCTACCTGGAGTGGTTGGAGTGCGTGCCACAGCATAGCTGCATCGAAACAGGGGTGGCATGTCCTGCTGGCATCACGACATGCAGAGAATTGGTCATCGCCGTGGCGGATCGATCAAGGCTGGCAAGGCCGAGGTGGGTGAATGATCAGTCTCGGGTGTGCCACGCCATCATGGGTGCCCTGGACTGGGGTAGTTGAAAATTACCAGACAGGGGGGTGTCAAAGGCCCCACCGCTCCCGTAATGTACTGGCCACAGTGTGAACTCAAAACCTCATGCGATTCACTGCCATGGGAGGCGGACAATACCGTAATATTCAACCCTATATTCAACCCTTTGGGACACTTCGAAGTAGTGCAAAGCTTGGTCGTCTTTTGCGGAGAAAAATTAACAAATTGACAAATGGTAACGCAGCGGTTGGCCTTTTCTGCGGAACAGCTTAAAAAAATAGAAATAACGCTGTACAAAAGAAACAGCGTGGCAAAAAGTGTAATGATAAAATTTTTGATCCGGAAAGGTTGAATATTTTATGGCACTCCGAAAGTGTGGCGCTGCCGGGCGCGGCATGGCGAAGCGAGGCGCATCATGTTAAATCGGGCAGAGGTTACGTTTCCCAGGAGTCCATGGATTTCCATACCATTGAAAGAACAATGTGCGGGCAGGGCAGGATTCAGGGGCGCATTATCGGGACAACAGTAGACGGCACGAGCGCTGAACATTTGCGATTGCGGACCTCGCGGAAATGCAAGTACATTACGCGTGCACAGTCAGTGTAGTGGAGCAGTCAGCTCGAGTACACCTCTCTCCCGAAACCCCTTTCCAGTGACTGGAATCCGAAAGGCGGTGCTGTAGCAAGAAAGATGCACACACTTGCTGCAACATATCCGGACTGGGGTGCAGCAGAGGGTAGAACAACTATCCACCGCAGCTAAGCATTGTTCAAATTACCCTGCAAACTACTGTCCCTGTGTTCGAAGCATCTGACGGCTGAGCGAACAACATGAGCACGAGGAGCTTTTTCATCTCATAGTGGACCAAGCATATCATCTCGTCCTTGAGCAATCATTCCCCATGTGTGAGCACCTTCCCTGTCAGCAGTCAGCTGCATCCCACAGCAGACAATGCTCTGGTTCTTGAGGTGTCCTCTCGTCATCCCTTGCGCGTGGACATGCCTTCGACCAAGTGCGCACACGCCGCGTTCCACACAGCCCCCCTCTGGGGTTCGAAGCGAGCTGAGCACAGTGAGCTCTTGCTCGGAGAAAACGCGCAGACCGTGTGACCCCCTACACGGGGGCCAGACGTACCCGCCAAATATGTGCATTGGGTTACATACCGAAATATGGTCTCCTGCCCCACATCCAGGATATCGAAGTCCTGCTCTAAGATGATCTGTGGTGTTCCTACGACCTACTAAAACTATTCAAACAAAACTGCTCAATGCAATGTAGCAGTGCTCAAGACAACAGGGCCTTCAAGCCTTGCAATGGCTCCTGCACTGATGGTGGCGCCTCCTTTTCCAACGCGCCCCCGATCGCATCCAAGACCGCCTCTTTTGAAACTGACCCAAGGAAAGTTGAAGGTTCTCTTTGCGGGTACAGGTACCGCAGTCGTGACTTGAGCAGCGTCTCGACGTGATTCAGGGCGGCGGCATTTCGCTGTTTCTTGCCAAAGGGCATTTCCGACAAGAAGATCAACAGAGGTCCCAGGTCGCTGAGGGCGGCGTTTAGGCGCTTTGCCGCAGCGACCCGCTCGGATTTGGCAACGTGCATGCAGGCCAGCAGCACCTCCAGCGCTTGCACCTGCAGATTCGATAAACTGAGATTCAATGGAGGATTCAATGGAGGATTCAATGGGAAAACATCAACTGATGCATTTGACCTTGCTTTGCGAAAGTTTGCTTCAGAAGGAGAATGCTTGCTGGTTGGATTCAATCAGAACCACCAGTTGGGCACAAGGGGAGTGTTTCTTCTGCTCGATTCCCAGTCGACAATCGTTGAGTCACCCATGTAGCATTTTGGTGCAGGTTATGTTGGTGTATTTTAGAGGCTACCCAATGCCTCGTCAGACAAGGTCAGCACCCTCGCAAGATGTGCGAAAATGGTACGAACAAGAATGCTTGCAGGCACAACCACAACCATTTGATATCTTTTCTGGCAAGTTCAGAGTTTGTTATGTGGCCACAATTGATATGAAAGCAGATTTCCTCCACTTTTTCCTCTGCAATAAACCTGTACATTTACATCTTACTGCACACATTGCAACATACTTTCTGAACTGCAACTTCACTTCTTGAAGCGTGGGACAGCACCATAAAGGCAGTAGTAAACACTTCTTACCTGTCGATAGCTATTCCTTGCTTCCCGCACTGCTCCCAGCAGCCCTTGAACCACGATCGGCAACTGACCCGGCAACTCCCGCAAGATCTCCACGACCTCAGTGCACCTGAGCCGGCAAGCAGGCACAGTGAAATACTCCTTGATGGCTAACTTCAAGAGCTCGCACCCTGCGTCCCTGCCACCCAGCGCCTCTGCCCTGTTCCACCACTTGCGAAGAAACCACCTCACCACACCAATGGCTCTTTTGCGCATCGCCTCATTTGGCATCCTGAGTGCAAGGCCCAGGCACTTCTGGCCATGAGATTTACTTATCGACAGGGTCTCCTCACTCCAGTCCGGGTTGCAGCTCTTGGATATGACGCCAGCGACCTCTCCTGCGCGCCTCTGCACATCAGCAAGGCCCCCGTCCTGACCCATGGAGCAGTGGACTTTCATCAACGGGTACAGTGCCAGCGATGGAAGGGGACTGTTGGCATGCCGCCTCGCAAAGGTCTTTATCAGTGATAGCACGCGCAGATTGAAACCGATGACCTCCTGCAGGCTGTCGCTCTTCTCCCGCTGACGGTCCTTCACGCTCCTCAACACTCCCGCAATAGCACTGTCCATCTTAAACATGGCAGTGTCGTCCATGTCACTGCCACTCTCGCCTTGCTCCTGTTCTCTTCCTTCCCCATTTCCTTCTTTTTCTACAGTAGCGCCGTCTGTGCCATCTGTACCCTTGCTCCCTTCACTCTCGTTTTCCTCCGCATCATCGCTGCCATCATCTTCAATCTCATCAGATTCCTCATCCTCCGACCCACTGTCCTCAGACGGGCTGTCCCCTGATTCATCGCTCTCTCGTTCAACCTCCACAACGTTGTTGGATGCCTGCTTTAGAGTCTGCCCGACCACAGACACAATGTCCATCCACCCAGTCACAGTGAGGCGTGAGCACAGGTGCTCAAACAGCTTCATGGCGGTTTTCCTCAAGAGGGCTGGTGGCAGGGGGTTTGTGCCCCTTGCCAGAATTGTGAGCAGTACATCCACCAGGACATCCATCCAATGGGGCTGCCCTGCAGGCAGTCCAGCGTCGTCGCCGCTGGCCCCATCGCCATCAACAGATTCCCCATCGGGCCCCTGGGATGACCCATCCTCAGAAGATTCTCCCGCCTCACCTTCGGATCCACTCATGGGCGTGACATCAACTCCCTTCACTTCGATCGCATCTCCTGAGCCCCCAACAGCACCAGACACGACACGACCGAGCTCCGTGCCCAGATCAGGATCAACCGACTGGCTGGCTCCCATCAAATACAGCTTCAGCACGCGGACAACGTCCAACAGCAGTGACAGGGCCTGAGGCCCCACGTGCTCTGTGGCTCCCCCGACATCCCCCACAGAAACAGGTTCTTCTTCAATCACGCCATGCAGATAATCCTCCAGCTGGTCCAGCAGCTGCAAACAATTCTGGTGGCGCTGCGGCAGTGGTTTAGCAAGCTCTATGCCTTTGACCGCAAGGCATTGAGTTACATAACTGCAGACAAAGAACAGCAGGGCCTCCTCCTGCACGTACTGAGAAGAGTTCATGGCCTCGATCAACTGGCACATGCACAGCTCCCGAACATCATCCGACAAAGGCGGCAAGCATGCCTGGACCCCCACAAGCTCAGGGATCTTGCACTTGGCTCCCTGAGCCACAGAAAAGAGAGCATGTGCAGCCAAGAACTTCACAACGTCCTTCCTGTCATCAAACGGCAGTTTCCGGATTGCCCAGGAACTCAGACACTCGCTGATGATCTCTTTCCTACTGATAGCTCGCCCAGCACCGACAGCACTCTTGGTACCCCCATTTTCCACCCCGGTGTGCTTGGATTTCCCTGCTTTGGTCGCTCCATTTGGTGCCTTTAGGAAAGCCGCCATCATGGGCCTAGTGAGGCACCCCTGGTTGCCCCCTTCCAGGAAACTCTGCTCAAGATTACGCACAACTTTCTGCATGGGCCCCTGGGCCTTGTTGTGCATTGTATGCACCACCAGGGCCTGAACCTCGGCGCTGGCAGTCTTCATGCTCTTTTCCAGGTCCCTGATGCACAGCTTCGCTGCACCGTGCAGATACGCATCCTCTCTCTTCAGATTGTTGAACAGGCATGTCAGCAGCTTGTTGTTGAACACAATCAGAACCTGATCCTGGCTGAGGTAGGGGACCACCATCCGGAAGAACTGGAAGGCGAGGTACCTTGGCTCGTGTCCCGAGCTCAGGAGGCCCCCAGTGACCACTACACGCCAAAACGCCTCCAGTTGGCCAGGGCCTGGTCCGCAAGGGCTCGGTGTGTCAGTACCAGCTGAGTTGTGCTGGAAGCCAGGTATCAGGAGCTGCAGCAGTGTGTGCATCACAGAGTGCACATTTGGATGCGACTCAGACGCCTTTTTGAGCGGTTCCAGGATCTGCTGCAGATGGCTGCCTGTGAAGAAGGCAGCTGCTGCCGATGAGACAGCCTCTGGTCTTTGGCTTCCTGTGCGAATAGCAAAGGCTTTCTCTCAAATCTGCGGTCTTGCAGGATGATTTGCAGGCATACCAAACCAGGTGTGCTGGAGAATGGAAAGTGGCCAATGCATCCCTGACTGGTGAAGTGCTCCAATGCATTATGAGCGAATTTCATTGAAACGTATGTCCCAGAACTGAACACACACATTCAGCTGGCTTCCATGCTACAAGGGGATGACTGATACTGCATAAACTTCGTCGCATTAGATTGTACGCGCTCAACAGCCAGGAGCAGGGACACAACTGCAAATCAGAACACGTCAAACTCTGGTCAACCATTGTAGGCAGCTGCATATCCACATTGAAGAAGAAAGTTGACCCTTAGATTGAAATACACTCACAACAAGACCGCAAGAATGAAATGTATATAGCTCTTGAATGCCTCAACACCCACCTATTGCAACAAACAGCACAGAGTCGCAGACTCCATGTACTTGGAGCCACAAAAGGCAACAGATGACTTGCAGCCACACCATTTGCTAACACTGGTTGTTGGATTGATGCTTGAAACTGGCACAAGGCAAGGATTTCTTCTCTTCGATTCCAATACACTAATTCTAATATATTATTAATAGTATTATAATAATTCTAATGTACATTATTCCATCATATTTTGGAGTCAAGGAGCCACCCCTGTCTCCTGTTTGCACGAAGGCAGCGCCTGGACTCTTCAACTGCTGGCATAGTATTCTGGACTCATAATCAGATGTTGAAATTTAAAACAAATATCACACAAATGAGGAAGCCTGGTAATTAAAGGCACAAAGATGAGACACAGCCATTCACCTTTGCACTGCATCCAATGCAATGGAGGTGCAACTTCCAGCCTTGGCAGGGCTGGCATAGTATTTTGGACTCATAATCAGATGTCGAAATTTAAAACGAATATCACACAAATGAGGAAGCCTGGTAAATAAAGGCACAAAAATGAGACACAGCCATTCACCTTTGCACTGCATCCAATGCAATGGAGGTGCAACTTCCAGACTTGGCAGGGCAGAACATGCACTCAACACTTCCTCGGGAAGCGCCCCCCACAGTCGAACCGCCAACAGAATAACCTTCGCATTCGACCACAGGCCACATGTGGATCAGATGAATTTGAACGCACGATTCCATGCACTCAGTTCACTTGCCTTAGCAGCAGCCAAGGGGTTCAGACTGTTAAAGACATGCATATTCTATTGCAAAAATTTGCTGACAACTGCAAGGTCGCATGCTGATAGTGGATGCAGTGCGAACATAAATGGACACAAGTCGACATATAAATGCACTCCGCTTCAAGTCCATTCACCCAACAATGTTGATGTTTGGCGCTCTTTACCCCTCAGCAGCTTGTTGACATTGTTCTCGAACAGGGTAGTAACAAATCACGTTGGGATGCAGCTCGCCCACAGTTGCGCATAGATTTTGTATCTTGTGTTCCCAAAATCCGTGTCACATTCAGGGATAGCCAGCACCATCTTAGAAATCGCATCTTTCTTCACCCACAGGCTAACACAAGGCGATGCACCACAACCAAAACCATCGGTCGCTAGTTGAGGAACTCCACAAGCGACTGGCCCTTTGCAGCTGCATGGGCAAATCCTTAACCTTGAGAGGAAGCATGTCAAGAGTATTACCTCCGGTGTCAGAGAATCTGTCGTCAACCAGTCCCTCAGGCCCTTGCACTTTGCAACCACTTTGGAGACTTCGAGTTCGCTCAACCCCTCCATTGCCTCCAACACCACATTGGCACAGGCCTCAGCAAGGATCGTCTTGCTGTGCTGAACTTGCACCAGCATATCAATACATCTTGCCACAAGGCCCACATCCTGAAGCTTGCCACTTCGTTTGAGAGCAGCGCAGCCAAGGATCCGCCCAATAAGCACGTCCCTGATCTCCTGAAGTTTCAGCAAAGAGGTTGGATGCTCAGCACATGGGAAAGCGACAACTAACAAAGTGACCTCTTCTTCGAAATGAGGTGGAATGGGAATTATGCTCAATCTCATATGGCGGAACCAACCTCATAGCCTCATGAAATGGGATTTGTGCCCAGTGTCATATGGCCATCACTGTACTTATGCAGAGGATATGTGGCAGATGGTTACCAGGCACTGGTATAATTTGCACTGATCTGACATTCAACAAGACGGCAAAGGCGACAAAGACAGTGGCAACTGATAGTATGGTTGGCTGTGACAACATCATCAAAACTGGCAACCATTTCAAATGGGCCATTCCCTCCTGGAGGATGTGCCTCAGCGACTGAAACCTCCAGCATAGTGTTCCAATTCGCCCCCAAGCAAATGGAAACATGTGGCCCTTGCATTGCAAAAACAACTCCACCAAGTAGCTGTCCCTTCGATTGCCTACCTCTCCCTTCATCCCACCAGAAGCTTTCAGCTCGACTTCCATCAGGTTCAACACATCAGCTGCTGTCATGCAATCGCACTGCAGCAGCAATGTCGTCAGTGCTGTGGGGAAGCCCAGCCGTGCAGCGGACCCTGTAGAAGCCAGCCCCTTGACTAGTCGCCTCACTGCATACGCCTGATCGACAAACGCAAGCCAACACCACTGTTTGAGCGCAGGGACAAAATCCGCAGTCACCACATTTGTCAAACACGACAATGCAGTGCCCTTTCACCCACGAGACGATCGAGCACAACTAATGCAAAGCACAATACTGTGCAAACTGTGCTAAACAACCAGGCAGGAAATGTTGGCAAATATGGCTTGCATGGTTTCCGATTGACTGGGCATTTTGGGACAGGACAAGGAAGAGATAACAATTGTGCATTTCATCTTGTCAGCTGGCTGGGTGCGCCTCGTGAATGTTCAGAAATGCAATAAAAGGTGGCTAACAAGCTACATATGGTTTCACCTAGTTGTCATAATCTGCTACAAAAGGAAAGTGCTTTATTAGCTTGGCTCTATTCTATTCAAGAATGCATTCGTTTAATCCAACAATGGGGCACTTGTAAGCCGTCGGTTGTTCAACACCCTGGGTAGCAGATGTTCTTCCACATGTCACAGTCATTGTGGTTAGCCACACTCAGAAACTTGTCAACTGTTTTAGCAGCACATACAGGACTCTGGTGAGTGCTGGTCAGAAGAGATGCACAATGTGGCCTGCAGAGTGCATGACGACTGATGCATAATGAACTTGCAAATATGATGACGACTGCAAAACATATGCCTTCTGCTAATTTTGCGAATCAGCGCCTGTGTTTCGAAACGTTAAAAAGGCCTGGAGTTTCGAAACGTTAAACAGTGCCCAGCACACCATGGTGGGCGAGCATCTCTTCAAGGCCTGACTTGAGCCGGATTGGCCATTCCGTCCCTCTTCCGTGTCGACATCAGATTTGTTGTCGTGCCCCCTCTGTGAGCGCAGGAGCAAGGCCACCAGCTTGCTAGCAGAAGCCACTCGCTGTCCCTGTTTCAAAAATAAGCCAATCAACTGCACATCCACAATCCCAGGGTCCATGGGTGCAGACATTCACTGCTTCCATGGTGCCTCGAAGATTGTCACGTCTAATACCGCGCGATGCTCCACAATCCTGGCCTTACTAACAGCTCGCCAGCTTCGGCTAATTGTTGGAATTCGAAACTCCTGTCAGATCAAAAAGGTGGTCTTTCCAAAACAAGGCAGTCGGAGGGGCGCCGCCGCCAATCATGGCACAATTCCCGGCACCACAATCGGCACGACAGCAGCGACACGCACACGGGATGCACGAGACACGGCCGCGAGCGCCCCGTGCCTAGCCCCATCATAACACCTCGCAGGCAAACCAACGGCCACCCATCGTCCGGCGAGCCGCCCCACTGCAAGCCCGGCCACCCCTTCCACCGCAGACACCGAAATTTGGCATTGGACACTCTGCGTTGCCACTTTATGCTCTCTCATTTGCATTCGCCCTGTTTTTCCCTGGGGATGCCGCTAACGCTCGTTGAAGGTGGAGTGAAAGTGGGATCATACACCGTAATCTCTTGCAACAATCTCCCTCTCCCGCCGCTGCGGGGCAATGGGTGCCGCGATCCCGCCATAAAAACCAGCGTCGCAAACGCTTCCCTCACCTCGTCTTTCTCAGCCAATCCCCAGAAGCACTGAAGGACCTGCGAGCAGGAAACGCCGTCCGTTCAGCCTGCGGCCAGCGGGCGACAATCCGCGGGCAGACGACCCGCGACGGTCGATCGCTCGCCCCCGCAACGGACCTCATCGCCCACCGACGCCGCCGTCGCGGGAGAAGCGCCGCTCGGCTGCGTCATGGAGTCGGCGCCCCTGTGCGCTTAGGCGGGGAGGCTGCCGGCGGCCAGCAAGGTTGCCCAACATGGCAGGGAGCTCCAGGTGCAGCCTGGCAGCAATACTCGTCGTACACGGCACCAAAGTACTGGCACCTTAGCACCGGGCATTTTCAAAGTGCCGAGGGAGTGGTACTTGTCCAGGCGGTTTTCAAAGTACTGACAACGCAGTATTTTGTCCATTGGGCTTGTCATGGAGCCTCCTGGACAAAGTGCTGAAGCGCCCGTTCTTTGGTGCTTGTGTTCAACGAGTGGAAAGCAAGCAATGGGGCGGGCGGGAAACACCGTTGCTGGTTGCTAAAGTGCTCATTGGGTGCTTGCGTGGGCTTGGATTGAAGGGATTTGTGGCGCTGTGCAAAAGAACATTTCAAAGGAGGGGTGGCTGTGGTCGGCAAGCCTCTGGAAAGGCGACGTGTTGAAGGTGAGGCTGGAAGCCACCTTTACACTGGTGACCAAGGTATCCCCTCCACCGGTGGCCATGGTACCCCCTACACCGGCGGATTACCATCGTACTTTATTTCACTGCGACAGGGCCCAGTGCCCGCGACTTCGGCGCTGCGACTAAGGCGCTGGCAGCAAAGCCAGTACGGGCCCGGTAGGCCGGGTGTAGCGTACCCCTTACGCTGAAAGGCAACCTGGTCGGCATCCAAGGAAAGCCTTGCTGTTCCTTTTCCAAGTCTTCTCTTCAGCAAATTTCAGCGAATGCTTTCCCCTTGTCAGTTCAAATTTTCAATCATGCCCTCTTCTTGAGGTAGTCGGATGGACACGCAGAGCAGCTAGACGCCACGGACAGCTCAGGGGGCAGTCGTGGGTCGGCATTTGCTGTTGCGGCCATGGGAGGTGCGGCTCGCCGATGCTGTTCGGGTGCAGCGCAGACACCAAGTGGAAATGCAGATTGCTGAGAGCCCGGCCTCATTTGGAGCCCGAGAGGGCGTGGACGTTTCTGGCAGTCCCGCATGTTTTCTAAAACGTAATTAATTGTTAAAGACGTCAAGCGCCACGTTTTATTGTTTCTCCACACTGCAAGCCTCAACGCCACGTTGCCATGCGCAAGGGTTGATTTTCCTAGGACAAGTGGGAAGACTCCAGCTATCACGCTTGACAACTCTGACAATGGAAGCTCCCAATAGTTGGAATTCAGCGTAGGGTTGTCACAAAATACACTGCTCCAACCATACCCTTGTTCGGGATGCTTTAGTACATTTTACCCTCCGCATTGTAATGTAGCGTTTGGCCTTTTGGGCGGAGCAAGAATAAGAATGGAACGGTGACAACAAAATGCGAAGCACCCCCAGCCGCGGCGTAAGTGTCTCTGGAGTGCTCACGGCATCTGGCGCCCCCAGATGCATGAGCCGCTGTAGCAGAAAACCGGCATTTGAGACCATGTCCAATGGGCGAAGTCGCCACTCCGGCCGTGACTATGATGCTGAGCCCCCCCCAAATAACGGTCCGTCGCAAGAATGCAGAACAGAAATAGCAACGCTGAAATTTCGTAATGTTGAAGGGTTGAATATAATACAGAGTATGAGCGCAGAAAGGACCCCAACTGGGGCAGTCCGGCTGCACCCTCATTCAGATTGCGCACAATTTCCCTCCGAAACCACTGAGAGATTGTCCATGAAGGAACGCAGTAGGTCGCAACTAGGACACTTATGCTTAATCATTATGATTAAACATTGCACCATACCAAAAAAGGGGCATTGTGCAGTTTACTGTATACAACATCATGATGATGTTATATACAGTAAACTAAACAATGACCCTTTTTGCTGCAGAAATACAAAAGCAATGGCTATGTGGTGCTCGAAATTGCTGTGCGCAAAAAGTGTGATGACTGTCAACGTTCCGGGCTTACATCATTCCCTATCCGACATTTTGGCATTTGCTATGGGATGCCTGTGAACTTGCGACGCACTCCTGCCTATCCCACCACAACGCCACAGTGGCGAAAATCCCACCCCCAGGTCTCCACTGCCGTGCTTCTCCCGGCCCGTTCCAGGCCATTCCATTCATGTGGAGTTGGTGCACGCCACACGTCTCCCCCTTTCCCACCCCACCCCTGCGCCAAGCTGTTGCCAATGCACACCACGGATACGTAGACTGCGACGGAGCAAAAGATGTGTTAAGATTGAGCGGTTGGGCAATTTGGGCATCGGGGTCTTTGCGCATGTACGGAAAGGCTATGGGGGCCTTTCCATACGGAGAGCTCCGTAGACGTTGCCCGTATCGGGAACGGTCTCAAGAACGCAAACCTCACCACCAGAAGCAGCCCTGATACTTTATACCCCCCCTCCCCCCCCCCGCCGCCGTACCCGCCAGCAACTCCACCCCCCTCCTCCACCTTGGGACATCCGGCCCGGCCCGCGCCACGTCGGTCCCGGGGGCCCGGATCCCGCCGATCCCCGCCCCGCCCGCCATGGGCCCCGGGTCCCCTCCACGTCAGGCCTCCCCTTATTTCTGGAACTGTCGCCCAGACTGCTCTGGCCCCGACCCACGCACGC